ACCCCAGCTTAAGCAGCGTGGTCTCCACCCCGCGTTCCACGCTCACCTACTACGGCTACACGTCCATAACGACGACCATAGGTTCCCAGGATGCCAACTTGAGCAAGTGTCTGATATTGGACGCCTTGAGGAATGGTCCGTCGCCCGAATCTTGAACCACCAAGGATCAGGTATGGACGCCCTGTTTGAGGTGGAATACTCGACAGGAGATAAGGTATGGCTACCATACCACCAAGTATCTCGCCTAGAGGCCCTTATCCAGTACTTTGAGGCACTAGGCATCCCAGGAGTCACACACCTGCCAAAGAAAATTTCTGTGGCATCAGGCGCTATCCCCATTCACTCAATAGACTCGCTGGCCTTGGCAAAGGCGACCGTCTTTGGGTTTGCTGCCCGAATGATCAATGACTTTGGATCCACGCCTCACTTAAGTGACCTTGATTCTACCTACATATTTAGCCAGACCATGGAACCAAAGTGCAGACAGTCCCTGCTCCCCTCCAAAGTACCCACCTATGTCCTCCACTGGCTCTGTTCCCCCTTGCATCGACACCATGATCGTTGATGAGCCCCAGGCTGGATGTGAACCTGGCAAATTTGCCAGCGACCCCAGAGCTCCTCGTTCCAACCGAGGATGATCTGGGCATCACTATAGAGGAAGAGGAGGGCGTAATTGTCCTTCTCGTCAGCGTGAGAATGACTCCGACACCCTCGGCACGTTCATGCACTTCTTTCGAGCTGAAGCTCAAGCCAGTAAGCATTCGAAGTGAGCTCGCTCCTCCTCGTTTGCTTATCTCAGTAACTATTCCTTTTCAGAGGAACTTGCCACCCGAAAAGAGGCCCATGCATTTGATCAGCTTGTCCGTGCTGAGCGTGCTCGCACTTCTGCCCCCTACTGCCCTCGTGGTCGGAACTTGACCTTAGACCATCGTGGTCAAACTTGTGGTCCACCCCACGCTCACCACCAGGGTAGGAGACTGCATCACCCTAAGCCTAAGACCTCGCCCCTTCCTATCCCCCCATCCGCAGCCCAAATCATAGCTGATGCCACTGCCAACACTGCATCCATTCTTGCCCCCACTACTGTGCCCGTCATTCCAGTCCCTGACCCTGGTCCAGATGTATCAGAAATCATAGTGGCTGCTGAGCAGCTTGACCTTGAACAGGCAGGCAACATGCCCGATATCACACATGAAGATGTGTTTGGTAGATTTATCTCTGTGGGCTTGTTAGCATCCAACTTACTGATTCTGGCCGTTCTCCTAGCTGCATTCACATCTGCGACTTGGTCTTAATCCTCAAGTGCCTCGCCTCACCTTGAGAATAGGTCCCCTTGATGAGTGGACCTGGAGGGTCCTCGCCTTCGACTCGTTCTTACTGTGTGAACACTCTCTGAGTGCCACAATTCGGTCTTTTGTAAAGACCTTAAAGGAGAAAAACCTATCCCATTAGTATGGACGGACACAGGTTTCTATGAGGCTCTCTCTAGATGGGAGGCTGACAAGGACGCTGCTATGGAACAGATCTCAATCGAAGAAGATGAGAGAATGTTCGTTCAATGCGCAGGTGATCGTGACAACTATGACGCTTACGATAACTTTGATTGTTGAAATCGGTGACTTCAACGATAACAACGGGGTAATGTTACAGTCAAGTATGCCCCTATTCATTTTCCTCCTCTTACATCATTGTATTACATCACAATCGCATCTTGCCGTCGCTAGATGATCTATTCTTGTTATCTTTGACTCATCTCTATTCTTGTTATCTTTGACTCGCCTTATCTCTGACTCGTCTTATCTCTGACTCGTCCTATGATCTCATCATACCGGCCCTAAAGTCGTTACCATTCACTATATAAACTCGTCCTGTACTATGTAGTTCTCTACTTTAATCTTACTAGGTTTTACCTGGAACTTCCTTCGCTTAAGACCTCCAATCTTAAGTCGTATTGAACGCGATTCAAGTTGAGGACACCCTCCTTGACTTGCCTTAGTGAAACCACTGAACTTCGGTATACGCCGAAGCCTTGAACCGACCTTGGCCGATTACTCTTACCGAGTAGCCATACTGTCTGAACCCACCTAGTTCGTAACATTCACGGGAATCGAGTTTTGCAGTCATTTGATGCGGGTTCCGGGCAGTGCGCGTTACGTATGATAGACTTCAACCCGCTAGCTGTGACAAACAGGCGGGGTCTAGGACGAGTGGTGAAAGAGCCATCAACGATACAAATCAGTGAATCCTTTGAAAGCTCAGGGGTCAGCTTGACAATGTCTCTGCCTTACGTCGAGGTCGTATCGGATAGAAGATTCGACGAGTTGCAGAACATATTGCTTGAGAGGGATAGGATATATTTGCTCAACACACTTCGGGAACGCACTGTCATTGGCTGTGGTCTTCTTTTGAGTGGGTTATCAAGGAAATTTAAGTTATTGACTTGTAGAATAGAGTCTGTTATCAGCTAGTCAATTTAGCTAGTTAGCTCTGATGACGAGTCAATGACCTAGTGAATGCTTAGACTAATATCAAGAGTCAAGGCCTTCTTAATGGACTTTATTGGAGTCATACCACAGAAGTGAGCTGAGTGATTGAAAAATTCAATGTTGCAGAGATACAAACTCGATATATCGACGAAGTTAGTGTTAGTGACCACTGACAGTTCGAGAGGAAAGGAATGAATCATCTACATGATACATATGATGAGGAACGAAAACCAGATGAACGGAACATGTTTTGGAGATGTCAATAGACAACGGGTCTGAATGGACAATGGCCGCCCTGGTAAATAGGGGCAGGTAGACAAAAGCACCGACAAACGGAGATGCGATGAAGAAAAGCCTCGCCTTGTATTATTTCAGTCTTGCCAAGTGTTTGATTGGGGTTGGCGTATGATTATAGGACTTTTGTATAAATTATCATCGAGCTGAGGTGCATAATATGAATACTTTTGAATTGTTTTGGTGTGGAGATCAGCGCTTCACGCGGCGAGGAGCTTGGGCCATGTGGTTTGCATCTTGGTTTATTGTTGTTGTTGTTGGTATTCAGGCACCGTTGTCCACCTGAAGTATACGCTAGTGTCACGGTACAACCTTGTGTCCTCTGCCTCATCCTGCCTGCAAATTACATCCCACGCAATAAAAAATAGGTCTGAGCTAAGTTACCCACAACTTTGATTATGTGCTACTACAAGTACTTATGTTGAGAAATTTACGGTGGCGCTCAGCCAAAAGGGGTAAGTAATACATGTTATGCTATTTGTTGTGAGATACCGAGCTTGGCCTCTGGATAGGCTGTGAGGAAGCATGCCTCATTTGACTCATACCTGGAACCAAAGCAGAAGGTGAGCAGGACTGGAATAGCGGATACCAGCAGGGACTTACTGATTAATAAATTCTAGCGCGATGGTTGCCCTTTGGTGGTACTTTGACGCGAACTGTCTATTCGCGCCTTGGTACCACTCCCTTGGCCAATCCTTCAATGGTGTTGTGAGTCCTTGGTCCTGATCACCAATGAGCCAGTGCTCGACGATCTCCTTCCAGGATTTGTTCTTCAGGCTGGAAGTGCCGTCAGAATGAGCGACTGGGACCCGAGGGATCACAAGGCCAGGTTTAGGGAGTTTCTGCGAACTGGATGCCATGGTGGGGACTCGGGGCCATCGTGATGCGCTGGAGGTGGATAGGGCCGCAGTAGGCACTGGGCTGACAACAGGTCTGGGTGAGAGCGGCCATTCAAAAGTGGTGAGTGCTCCTCCAAGAGGTGGAGTGGTATATGGTGGAGTTGTTGTGCGGGAGGCACACTCAGAGACATTGGTGAAGCGGTTGCCTGAATCAAAGTGTTGGAGAGCAATTGCTGTGCTGCAGGCAGCCTGCACTACAACACTTGTTAGGGAGCGCATGTCGTTGCGCAGGCCGTTGACATCTGTGGCAACAGATGCATGCACCATGCGAAGCTCTTCAGTGGATGCTGGTCTGGTAAGTGCATGTTCACCAGCAAGAGAGGCATCAGCGCCACAGGAGATGGGGGCAAGGGCATCGCTATAGTCAGTCTTGTACACATGTAGTTCATCAAGCAGGTAGCGAACGAGCGTATCACGCTGAAAATAGATACATTGAGTGAAAAAAAGCCGTGTCAGTCAAGCATCAGTTGTGAGCACAGGAAACATACATGCTCGCCATCAGCCCATCCACCCCACCAATGAACTTTAGCAAGTGTCCACCGTTGACCTACTGGAGCAAACATGAACCAATATTGTGCACCTCCCCGACGAAAGCAGTGAGTTGAGAAGTTACCACGGATGCCAGCGCCAGTGGTAGACTCATTGATCCATTTTTGTACAGTATCGTGAGAGATTGGCTGTCCAGGATGCATAACACCATTTGCACTCATGGCAGGGAAGAGGAAGTCGTTTGGCTGGAGGGTGCGCCCATAATGAAACAATTCGAGCCACTTGATCCAAACCATCGTCCAAAAGAAAGTGTCGCAGGCCGGTGCATCAGGGCGTGGATATATCTTGTAGTGATTTGCTGGTAGGGTCATTTAGTCACGCGCTATCAGCTCCAATTTGATGCAAGCAACTCACATCTCAAATACGCCTCCCATTGGCCTTTGTCTACCTTCTTTTGCCATCCTTTCCAGTTCACGAGAAAGATCTCAAAGTGTGACGCGCATTTACTCAGTGTTAGTGTCTCATTTGCAAGGTACATCTTGAGCACACCATCCAAAACAGTAGTATCAAGTGAGATGTCCTTTTGTTGCAATTTGACGAGCTCAAAACACCTGCAGATATAGCAAGTCAGATTGTGCATGTACCACAAATGAGCAGGACCGCACCTTGTCCATAATGTCCATCCGTTTGACGCGAATGTGATTTGCTCGAGATGGCGGGTGAGTTTCATTCTCATTTCTAAGTCTAGACAAATATCTGAAGGTTGAGCGCCATTCATTACCTTTTGAATCATCTGCAGCGCAATATCCAGTGGACATGCAGCCTGGTGCCATCAGAATGCCCGGTCCATGTAGTCCTTTGTCATCGCCATCGAGTGAGTCTGATCTCCACCCTCCGCACTTGCCTTATGCTTGATGGACGACAGCACATCATAGATGTCTGTGGAATCGGTGGGGTTTCCTTCCCAATGCTGTTTCGCCTCGTTGAAGTGCCATTTGCCGTGATAGGTGTCACCATCTCTATTAAACGTAGGTCAGTGCTTGTGTGCTCATGATCATGTATGACAATACTCACGATAACTCCCACATCTTCTTGAATGCTGAACGGATGCTCTCGACTGTAGTTTTGCTGAGATTCTCGTGGAATCCTTTCAGGGACATGTAGAGTGCCAGCACTTTGTTGGAGCATCTGTTCGGTATGGTCTCAAATGCATCTTTGAATGCAGGGTCCTCATACACAGTCATTGTTGGCATGTATTTTGGCAGTGTTAGTGGCTGCCTATGAACACAGTGCTGCTTACCTTGCATAAGGCACACAGACAGGCACCCTCCCATACACCGCCATACATCTTCTCAATAATTGCATCATCCTCCCAGCCCAAATGCTGACGGCAAAAGTCTGCGAGACTTGCGAGATCTGGTTGGTGGAATGAGACGTCCCAGGGCAGTGCCACTGTACCATTCCTAGTGGCCGAAAAAGACGTGAAAGCGTGGACATACTTGCTGACTACTGCATGCTGAGGGAAACTATGAGGAATGCGGTCTGCAACCACCTTGTACCTGCACTCAAGGAAATTGTAAGGATCAGTAGAAAGCAGGGTATGCAGATCCTCAACAAGCTCCTCAGCCCGCTCAGAGAATTCATCCAGCGTCATCGACAGGAATGCATTGAGCATCATCTGGCCGATTTTACTGTGCAGCGCCACCTTATGCACAATTTCGATACCACAGCCAGGAACACTGCGATCATAATCACCGCCTGCGAGCAGGGCAATTAGCAGCCAGTCTCCTCGCGTTAATGAGCAGCCGTGTTCAAGGCCATCTTCCGTGAACACCTGGACATTGAGATAGTCCTTGTCATTTTTGCACTACCCGGGAATCAACGGCAGTACATCAACAGGAAAATGGCAGCATACCTTCTAATAATGCACAGAGCTCCGAAGATCAAGATATCACTGTCCTCGGTCATCACAGCATCAATGACACTGTGGACATTCATGGCAGCCGGCTCCGCTTCAGCTTCACTTGGGGCCTGGTATAGCACTGGTGAGATGGCAATATCATAAGCAGAGAGAACATACTTGAGTCCAGTCAAAGCCAAACAACTCCAGCATGCACTGGAAGTCACAAGTGAGCCAGTGGGGGCTGCTTCTAACCTTGCGACCTTTGTCTGGCAAGCGCTCGAGGCCATCAAAGACAAAGACTGCATGTAGCGGCAGCTTCAGCAGTGTCCACAGTCGAAAGAACAATGTCCACAGCTCTGGCGATTTTCCAGCTCCTGCATGGTTGACTCGAAAGACAGCGCAGACGCTGTGCATCCACAGGCTAACAGCATGAGGGAGTTCAACTAACATACAAAAGAAGAGAAGCATCATACCTAGCATCAATCCCAATTGTGAATAATCGGAGCTTGCAGTTGCCTTCGACACCTTCAGTCTTCAGCTCTGACACAGTGAGTTCCTTGAGAGTTCTGTTTTCAGCAGATAAAGTAACTCGCTGTAATGAACGTCAGGACCCTCAGCCAAAAGCAAGAAAATTGCAGCTCACCTCCCATAGTCCATGGATTCCCATGATGAGTCGTGATGGTAGTAGACAATGACAAAAGTCGGGCTTGAAAGGGGGTGAATAGAAAGGGGTAGGTTCTGATGTCACCTGACCACCAGCGATCTAAAATCAGACATGAGTTAACGATATGAAGAATCCACTGACAAGAGCAGCATAGATGGTGTTTGCAAGCGAGAATTTGGCAAGGTCCTTTGTAATGTTGTTCTCCATTTTGTATGCCCGGAATCCAGCAGACTTCTTCAATGCATTCTTGCCCGCAATGACATTGCCAGTAGCATCAGCAAAGTTGGGGATGTCACGACCAATTTAATTGAAGGACATGGCCAAGTTCCTGCCAAGTACACACAACAGTTGCATTTTGGACTTGTCACAGATGGCCATGATGGGAGAGTCAGATTTGACAGGCTTCTCAGTGTCAGCAATGGCACAACGGGTGGCCTTGGACATGGAAGAATGGATACCACTGCAGAAGTGGAGATACCTCTGAAAGGACCTACAGAGGAGGTACACTGCACGGTATGAAGCGATGATGTTGGTCCAGCACCTAAAGACCTGGTCAGCGACATGGTATGAAACCATGATGTCGGTCCAGCACCTGGAGGACTGGTCAGCAACACGGTATGAAGCAATGATGTCGGTCCAACACCTGGAGAACTGGTTAGCAACACGATATAAAGTCATGATGTCGGTGAGGGAAACACAACAAGAAGAGAACTCTGTAAAGTACTCTCCAAATGTTGGGTCAAATTGCTATGCCTAGCTGCTATTCGACCCTAAAGGATTTCTGTACTAGACTCAGAGCTCAGAGAGTAGAATTATCATCAAGCAAAAGACTGTGATTCAGACTGGTACTGACACTGGTAAAAGGGAGACATGATTATGTAAGCAGTAAAAATGCGAACATAAACTAAGGAAAGTGGGTAAGTGAAGGTAAGTAAAAAGGGGGAATATCAGCCCAGGGAACACTATATTGTCACATCGGTCCAACACCTGGAGAACCGGTCAGCGACACAGTATGAAACCATGATGTCAGTTCAACACCTGGAGAATTGGTCAGCAACACAGTCGATGGGTGGCCTTGGACACGGAAGAATGGATACCACTGCACGGTGTGACAATCATACCAGCGCTAGGTGCGTATGAGTGTCATAGGCACAATTTGCCTTACCTTGAGGAAAAGAGTAAAGCGCTAGTCACCAGCGCTATTCAGCTCCCAAGCTATCCGCTTTGGAACCGCTTTTCTCCCATAGCGCGCTGTCTGGCCCGACGCCTAGGTATTCCGTCCTCCCATGTCCTGCCTATGTCCACCTACCTCCGCTGGTGCGTTATTTTTCATTAAATGTTGCTACTCATCAGTTGCAGGTCTTATTACATGCATCCTCATGTCCCGCTGCGCTGCATGTCTTATTACCTGTCGCTACATCGTGCCTCCATCAGTGTCGCTACTATTCTCACCTACACATTCCCGAACTTTTACGCAGTATGATAAAATGACCCGTCGCACATACAGTACAGTACTTCCCTTCCCCGGACCTTTGCTGGTATCGAAGTCACTTTAGTTGCTATATCCTAGTTTTTAGTGCAATCGATTCCGCTCTTGCCAATCTCTCTGATCGCGTGTCGCTTGACTTGCTTCGAGTGTGCGTCGCTAAAGTTCCTTCATAAGTCTGATCTTCGCAAACGTTGGGATTGCTGTCAGTAGTCGAGCTATAATCTAGTCACTATCAGGCATTCCACTTGCGCTATCATACCTTATCCCTCGCTTTCCCTTCTTTTGATTTCTTCTCACTGTCGCTAGTCGGATGTCGCATAGCGCTACTTACTTATACGCATGTTTCTCTGTCGGAACTCACTTGTCGCTAGTCGCTGATCACTACAGCGCTACTCATTGGTTTTTGGTCTTAGGTCGCTATAGGTTATCAGCCCTTCGCATCATCGCTACCCTTGTGTATTTGAAGGGAGTTGCTTCAATAGCAGTCCTCTTGGGTCGAATATTACACTTGCGCCTATTTGGATAAGTAGCGCTAGTTTCTAACCAGCCTAGTCGCTATTACTCTTTCACAACGGTATGAAGCGATGATGTCAGTCCAGCACCTGAAGAACTGGCCGGCAACATGGGATGAAACCATGATGTTGGTCCAACACCTAAGGAACTGGTCAGCAACACAGTATGAAACCATGATGTCGGTCCAGCACCTGAAGGACTGGTTGGCAACACGGCATGAAGCCATGATGTCGGTTCAGCACCTAAAGAACTGGCCAGCCACATAGCATGAAGCTATGATGGTGGTTCAGTACTCACCAATTAAACCCCAAACTGACCACCTAGGCTTACAATTTGAAAGTGCTGTGATCATCAATCTGGAAGAGTAAGAATCAGCATAAATAAATAAAAAATAAAAAAGTACCTTCTCCAGGAGAGGTGTTGATGTTGTTGGAGGTGTTCACCTGCGGTATTGTGCATGGCAGTGACTAAAGAGTTTGCACAGTGGAGGAAGGTAAAGTCACGTGATCAAACACATCTAAGCTGCCAATTATGGTAGCTGTGTAGGATGAGGAGGATGGAGAGGAGGGTAAGGACGTTACATGTAAAGTACTGTAAAGTGTGATTTTGAGTGGGTAAAGTGAGTAAAGCGCAGGAGAAGGAGAAATACACTGTAAATTTTGTAAATTTTGTAAATCTCAAACTTCTGGGCAGGCTCCCAGCTGTGTGCATATGCACCTGCCGACATTGTAATTTTTTTTTGCTTCCGCAGTTAGGTGCCTGGCGGATGACTTAAATTAATGTCATTACCTTTATCATACATTAATGGCACGATACCTGGGCAGTCTGCTTGGTCTGCCGGACTTGAATGGTGATTTGACTCAGTGATTTGCATTGATACAAGAGAAAAAACAATTTGATGCTTCCAATTTTCTGATTAATCAAACACTATGTACTTCGGTCCTGGCTCGTCATTGGTGGAAACACACGTCGGCGTGAGCAACTCACGTTCCAAACCCTAAGTTAGGTGCATGCGGTAGGAACAATGTGGATATTCCCAACCGTGTGTCAGCACAATGGGCGAACTCCAACCGCCGTATGTCACGTGACATCAGATTCCCTTTTTTTTGTTTTTCAGAGCGAATCTCAGACGAACCCCCTTTACAGAATTTACATTAGCTAATAGTAAATTTCTCCAGATATCCTGACTTATCCTGAGAGATTTACCCTTGGCGGTCAGCCAAAATGCCACGCAAGGTCATGTGACCTTGATCCTTTACCGTTTTGGGCCTGGGGTCACTCGGGCGTGCATTTGGGTTCTTCCGTGCTTAAGGTCCAACAGTTTTAAAGAGAGAGCTAAGCTTAAAAGAAGGGCAGCGAGAGAAATTTAAAGAGAGAGAGAGCTTAAAGAGGCGGCGAAGAAGGGAAGGCGAGTTGTGAAAGAGGTAAAATGGATGACATTACGAGCAAGAGTGGGTAGATAGGGCTTAGGCTAGGCGGGTAGGCTAGGCTAGGCGGGTCTGGTAAATTCTATCTAAGGGGCAAGAGATTATTAGAGACGATTGTATTTTGTTGAAGTGAGTGTCCGTGGAGTAGTCTGAGTGCGAAGTGGGAAGTGCGAGTGTGTGAGTGCGAGTGAGAGAGAGAAGGTGAGTGTGAGTGTGAGTGTGAGAAAGAAGGAAGAAGAGGGAGTGCTGTGTATGCGAGAATATGCGAGAATAGAGGTGAAGAAGGGACTTGGAAAAGAGAAATGGCCAGCGCCGCTGGACTGTGCTGGCGCTTACTTTTGGGGGAGGAGTTCCCCATGCATTTTCCTGGCATGGTTGATCGCGTGTAGGAGGCCCATATGGCCTTCATTGGCCTCTGGATAGGCAGCCAGGAACAAGGATTGATTGCCATTGTATCTGTGGCGTCTGTTGTGAATGGCGTGAATGGTTGGGGAGGTGAGATGCTCACCGGTCAAGGAATTCCAGTGCAATCACAGCGCGCTGCTTATACTTGGAGGCAAAGAGGGCCTTGTTCTTGCCCAGTCTCGAAGGGGGAGGAGCAAGCCATGCGCGGGATCACCCTCCAACCAGTGCTGGACAATCTGCCTCCAGGATTCCTTCCTGGGCGGGTAGTTCCCATCAGCACGCTGTGCTGGGACAGCAGGGATCACAAGACCCTGTTCGGGGAGTTGGCGGACACTGTCAGTGCCGCTATTTGTGATCTGGCTGAGTGCTTGGATTGGGGCACTGGAGGGAACAGATGTGGTGACCAGCTGACTATGGTCAGCTGGTCTGACAGATGGTGGCGAAGGCATTGCACTGTGGAAGGAAGTAAGGGACAGGTGTGGCTGCGCTGATGGTTGTGGGATGGTGAAGCTGCCTGGGAGGTAGAACATTGAATATGGAGTCAGGGAGAGAGGGTGCGACACTCACCAGCGCTGCCAGTGTGAACCATTGCACTTTCACCATGAGTAAGGGCAGTTGCGAGATGGCAGACATCACTCTGAAGCCCTGCAACATCAACCGTGATTGAATCCTGCATCAACAGCAGGTCTTGTGTGCATGCCGGCTTCGTAAGGGTGTGTTCACTGATTAGTGATCCATCAACTTCACGCTGAGTGGGGCACAAGGTGTCACTGTGCTCACTCTCATATGAGTGCAGCTTGTCGAGTAAGTAGCGGATCAGCGTGTCATGCTGAATTCAATGAGCATTTGCTGTGCAGATAGAATGAGGCACTCACATTCTCGTTCTCTGCCCAAGATCCCCACCACCGAACCCTTGCTAATGTCCAGTGCTGGCCAATGGGCGCAAACATCCAGCGCCACTGTGCGCCACCACATCTGTAAGTGTGAGTGGTAAAGCTGTTGCCAGGTCCATGAGGTATTCCAGCTGCTGTTGTCGCTTCGTTGATCCATCCTTGTACTGCATCATGTGAGATGTGCTCATGAGGCTGCACAATGCCGTTTGTGCTCATGGTGGGGAAGACGTAATCCTCAGGGTCGAGCGGTCGGCCATAGTGAATGAACTCAAGGAATATAAGCCATAGGAGGAGCCAGAAAAAACAGTCACAGGATGGCATGTTGGGCTGTGGGTACAGGTTGTAGTGGTTGCCTGGCAAGTGTGTCTGACAGTGAGTGACAGGGAGCTGGGTGTTAAATGCACTCACAGTGCAGATTAGATACACCCTTGTCTACCTTTCGTTGCCAGCCTTTGCGGTTTGACAGGAAGACCTTGAAATGGGCATGGAGGTCCTTTGCTGACAGAGTTTCACCATTAAGGTACTTATTGATCACTGCGGCAACTTCTGAATGATCAATGGTGAGGTCTTTCCTTTTTAGCTTTATCAACTCAAAGCACCTTTGTGTCGTGACTGATCCAAATGTCTGAGCCAGTGTGCTGCTTTAAACTAACTTTCACAATCAGGCTCACCTCATCCAAAGGTTCCAGGCCATGGTGCTAAATGCCATGTTCATCAAAATCTTTGTGTACAGTGTCCAGGATTCCAGGGTGAGGTTTTTCTCCGCAAATTTGGAGTCACAGCCAGTGATGATCACTCTGACGAGACTGATGTAGGTCAGTTGTGGGCAGACTGTGTCAGTCCATGCAAGGATCCGGTCCATGTAGCTCTTGGACATTGCAACCGAGTGTGTTCTCTCCCCTCCGTCACTGTTGGTTTTGTGCCTGACAGACTTGATTATATCTTGCACCTCTGCCGAACATACGGGATTGCCTTCCCAGCGCTGGTGGGCATCATTGTAATGCCACTTGCCACAGAAGGTGTCTCCATCCCTGTAAGTGAGATGGTAGTGCCGAGAGTGAGCATTAGCAACTGGTTGTGAGGAATGGACTTACACTTCTTCCCAGAGCTTCTTGAATGCTGCTGAGAGGCCCTCGCATGGACTCATCCTGCAGTCCTCATGAAAGCATTTGTATGAAATCAAGAGTGCAAGTGCCTTATCTGAGTGCCTGTTAGGCGTCTTTTCAAGTGCTTCCCTAAATGCTGGGTCCTCGTAAGCGTCACCGACTGCAACCATGAGTGATTCCAATGACTCCCTGTCCTGCTCTTTTGCCATGCTGCCGCTTGTATCTGGTGTATTGCTGAAGTGTGTCTTCAGCCATGTCTGCCCACATGCAACATATCTGTTGTAGCTTTTGCGTGTCACCTGTGCATGCTTGTGCTTGTGCTTCACCTGATCTTTGATCTGGGTGATGGCCAGCAAGGTGATATTACTTTCAACAGGCTGTGCTCCTTTCCTCTGCTTCCTGGGGCTGGCGTCTGCAATGGGAATGAGTACCTTGCTTGCCTTTCCCTTTGTCCTCGTCATTGTGAGCTAATAGGACCAGGTGGTTGCTTAAGTTAGGATGGACGTGGCACTCGCGCAATCGAGGAAGCAACAGGGGTAGTCTGGTCTGTTTACCAATACCAATATCAAATTGCGGTTGATCTCAATTTGTTGTCAGCACATCTGCACGAAGTTTGGACAGTGTATTTACAGCAGCAGCCTGGTACAAAAGTCAAAAAAGCGAAATCTACAAGTCCATAGTGAGATCTATGACTCCAGTCACCCCCTCTTCACCACTAGAGATACTGATAACAGATCCAGCACGGCTTTTGGTGCCTGTCGGCAAGTTCATGTGACTTGTGCGGCTCCCTTCTGCACTGGCTGCATCCTTTGGCCATAATAATTCAGACACCTGAGCATACTGCACAGACAGGCGAGGATGCCAGTCAGTCGGAGATATGGACCGTTGTGGTGTTCAAGCTCAGGCTAGCCTCGCAGAACCCCATTTCGCTATAGGAGTCAAGCAGCCTAGATATCCACATCGCATCCATACACCACTTCCTTGCAAAGTCTCAACTCACTCGACTCTCCTGTGTCGCGCCGGTCTATGTCCGACTCGGCCGATGCGGATCCATGGCCTCAGTCTCTCGCAGAAGAGCCAGGGTTGTCTTAACTGTCCCTTGCTTGTCAGATTGGCCATCACGCACCTCGGCCGACCATTCTGTCCCATCGGTACCAAATCCTCCCATGTCCTACCCATGTCCACCTATCTCCATTGGTGCATTTTAAGCTCATTTTACTGTTACTGAACAAACAGCAGGCATTATTACATGTATTCCCATGGCCGCAGCACTCGCGAGCCTTATTACATATTGACCCGAGTACCTTGTGTTTCACTACTACTCTCGCCTGTGCGATTCTGGACGTTCACGCAGTTAGATAAATAGGACTCAAGTTCGTATTATCCCTTACTTCCCTTCCTCGGACATACCTGGTACCGTTGTAGGAGTCACCTTAGTTAGTCCTTGATTGTGCAAATTGATCCCCCTTGCTTTTTATCATCAGACATGCCTTGACCGCTCTAAGTGCACTCTATCTAAGGTTTCTTTACCTAGGCCTTGTGAGATCTGGACCGATACCGGTAGTCTTACATCGGCAACCCATACCTAGTCTTACCTCGTCATACCTAGTTATACCTGGACTCTCTTTACCTCGGCCTAGACTTACGTGCCGCTCATCGGCATCAGACTCCCCACCTCGCCTCGGTATCTTGCATCAGCATCTCGCATCGGTATCTCGTGCCGGGTGTACCATCGGTATCCCATATTGCGTTGGACATTTTCAGACTCGGACCTTCGGTCGGTCGGATATCTCGGGCCATAGAGCTTAGTTCTTCCTTTCTCTTCCCTCGCACTATTCGAAGGAAGTGCTTCAATAGCAGTCCCCTTGGGTCGAAGTACTGCACTCGCACCCATTTGGATTTAGTAAGTTAGTTGGTATATCTAGCTGATTACTATTTTCTTTCACCACACCGTGATTGGGACTGAACATGCTGTATCACTTGTCAGTTCAATGCTGCAAGTAACTTCACCACCACGATGGCACTCACTGACGGAGGCTTTTCATGGTCCAAGAAGTCGAGAACCTATTCAGGTGCAGTTCGTTTTAACACTCTGGTAGGAATATTGACCCCTCCATCGGCTTGAAACCAGGTTGCATGGTCGGGTGCCTGACTAGCGTTATGCACGCTTGAGAATCCACAAATGTCGCTGCATCCTGCTTGAAGGCCCTGGTTGATGGCCGTGATGAAAGATGGGGCAAGGATGGTGAGATTGTAGGCCGACACACCACCGTCAATCTCAAGTTGCCGGTTGATGCAGAAAGATGGCTTTGGTGGTGGCCCACAAAGTCCATTTGCAGGGAGCTATGCCTTCGGATGAGTGATGCAATCTGCAGCAAGGGAAGCCACCTCACCTGACAAAAAGCACGCAAGAATATAATGTGCCAAACCCTGCGCCGGAGGTAGCCATGTATTTTTTCGAACCCCCATCCTAGGCGTGACTTACAAAAGCTAGCGAGATGTATGAGGTTCGGCTGGATTGATGTAAAACAAGGGCCACAAGGCTCGTCACCATCAGATGAAGGGGTAGCGTGGTTCAGGTACACGTCGACTTTGATTTCACTACTGATCCTGGCAGCACTGTAAACAGCTCAGTTAGACAGTCAGAAAAAATCAAATCAAGGATCACAGCAACTCACGGTCGAATGACTCACTTGGCACCAAACATAAATGTTTTGCTGTCTTCAGTCAGTACAGCACAGATTTTGTTAGCTTTGGATAAGGAAGCAAGCTCCCGTTCAGCCTTGTGGTTGGCCTGCAGATGTGTGCACTCAGTCTGCCTCTACAGCATTTAGGAGGAGGAATTGATGCTCACCATTGACCAAGTAAACCCGAAGATCTGCAGCAGCTCTTGCAGACATGCTACAATCCAGGGTGGTGCTGTCCAAATTGCAGGATGGTCTACTCCACCGAACACAAAGTGGGCATGCAAAGGGGCACTGGCCAGGGCAACAAGTGCATACATCAATGTGCGGCGCAGCTCAGGGTTCTCACTGGACTGTACGAATCGAAGATATTGAGGGGTGCAGACTGAGTGGAGCCAGGAACTGGGGGAGTGGCAGGTCAGCGAGGTTTTGCGAGCTGTTTGGCCCTTTGTCTTACCCTGCATCGACTCCGATGACCATCATCGACAACCCATCTTTGTCTTGCACATGACCCTTGAATTCCTCAAGTGCGAATTTGGTGAGTGTCTCCCTTTTGGTGACAGGAGAAAGCAGCTGCACAGGTACTCTTGTTCAGACTGTTACAGTCAAGTACGCCCCTATTCATTTTCCTTTTCTTACATCATTGTATTACATCACGATCGCATCCTGCCATCGCTAGATGATCTATTCTTGTTATCTCTGACTCGCCTTATCTCTGACTCGTCTTACCGGCCCTAAAGTCGTTACTGTTCGCTATTTAAACTCATCCTGTACTATGTAGTTCTTTACTTTAATCTTACTAGGTTTTACCTGGAACTTCCTTCACTTAAGACCTCCAATCTTAAGTCGTATTGAACTTGATTCAAGTCAAGGACACTCTCCTTGCCTTGTCTTAGAACATCGAACTTCGGTATACGCCGAAGTCCTGAACCGACCTTGGCCGATTACTCTTATCGAGTAGCCAGACGTCAGAACCATCCTAGTTCGTAACACAGACCACAGTGGATGACATAGCACTAGGGCACACACCTTCCACAAATCAGCCATAGTACCTGTGGTTGTCGTCCTCGACAGTGATTGGGGTGGTGGTGGAGGTGGTTAATGGATAGGAGCGAGCATTGCTCCGAAAGTAAATTGTTAGGGGCTTGTACAGCCACCACGCACAACTGGCAATGTATGGTTTGTGCGGTGCGAGAGCAGAGTGAATAGTTTTGGATCCGTGTGGTTGGGTCGGTGTGGTTCATGGGGCGGTGAATAGTTTTGGATCTGTGTGGTTCGTGGGGTGGTGAATAGTGGTTGGGTCGGTGTGGTGGTGAATAGTTTTGGGTCGGTGTGGTTCGTGGGGTGGTGAATAGCGGTTTATGGGGTGGTGAATAGTGGTTCGTGGGGTGGTGAATAGTTTTGGGTCCGTGTGGTTCGTGGGGTGGTGAATAGTTTTGGGTCCGTGTGGTTCGTGGGGTGGTGAATAGTTTTGGATGCGTGTGGTTGGGTTCGTGTGGTTCGTGTGGTGTATGCTGAGAGCAGTTAGCAGTATACTTGTGGCAGCAGAGTAAACTGCACATACTTGGCAAGGGCAGGATGAATAGTTTTGGATCTGTGTGGTTTGTGTGGTGCAACCAGGGCCAAGCTTGTTGGGGCATGGGTTGGCCAGCACAAGGGTGCAGCGCGAGTTTGTCATACTGAGTCTGAGCATGTCCTGTACCGCCACTGAAGATGTATGATTTGCTACACACAACATACTGGTTGTGCCAAATGTAATGAGACCAACTAATGCATATAGTGGGATCAAACTGAGGCCAACAACAAGAGCGTCACGGAGTGCTTTGAGGTCTAGCCAGAGTGACCATGGTGGCTGTAAGGAGAGCAGCAGAGCGTGTGGTGCAGCATGGCAGGCTGCAACCTCAGAGGGAGGGTTAGAGTGCACATTGTCGTGCCTGTCAGTGTTAAGTCAGGTTTGGGTGAGCTAAGTCCAGTTAAGTCCAGTTTAAGTGACAGACTCACCAAACACTGGTAGTAGAACACGGTACACCTGTGGTAAATTTGTAAATTCATAAATTCGTAAATCTGTAAATTTCAGGGCGCTGACCTGCCGCAGGTGCTAGTCAGAACTGTGAATTTCAGCCGAAGTAAATTGGTCTAGAAGTGACACATTCACGGTGCACGCAATATGAGTTAAAGCCCATCACACACTGGATTCAAAAGACCGTTCAGTTTCTGTATAGACTTGGACTGACCATCATGTCCCATGCTGCTAATGCAAACTCACAGTGAGAGCATGACAGAGTTTAGAAACTGACTGCTGTACATACCATACCCATAATTAATACATATTGATTGCTCTGAGTTGTTGGAGCCCATACGAAGTGGCAAGCAAACAATCTCGGAACCACAATGGGGAAGCAAAGAAGGGGCGGGCAGGTGCGCTTAGTCAGCCATGGCGGTGTAGAGACTAGTGTTTCTGTGGGCTCATATGGGCTCATATTACGAATTCTGATGACTGGCCTTTACTGCACAACTCGCACCATCATCCACTATGACTTCCACCATCATGCGCACCACTTCCCGCAAAATGCGCCATAGGCGCGACACTTTCCCGCACAATGCGCAGTATTCCCGCGTGCGCGCCTTGCGCGCTTTCTCGCGCTTAAGCGCCCTGCGTCGCACAGCATCCAGGAGCATCCATCCATCGTCCAACCAGTCCCTCGGTATGTCCCTTTTCTTTATCTGACCATATTTAGCATATTACACTTCCTATTTCGTTATGGACCCTTACTTTACATCACTTTACATCACTTACATACTTAGAGCGCTCCCTATTCGGCTCCGAGCCCTGGGAGAGCGCTTAGGTAGAACTTACATACTCTCATGTTCGTTTTACACCAACTTTACCACCTTAGCTTCCTACCACCACCTTCCTACCACTCAGTATCTATCACCAGTTAGCTCCATGCAATGCATGTGTCCATCATTGTTTTGAGGCCCTAGCATCAGTCTATAGCTAGTGGCACTATCAGTATCCGTCTAGATCCGCGCTTTCCCTCTTATCAGTCTCAGTATATATCTTTTACACCTGTGCACTGCTTGCACTACCTTCCCACGCTCCGCGCACTTTCGCACTTCGCTTTCCCGTGCGCGCTTTCTCGCGCTTTCACCGCCATTCACCAGGGTTGTTCAGCATCATTCCGTGGATCCTTGCTTTCCTTGCTTCCCCTTTAGGGTCGAACGTTCTTGCATTCTGCGAGTATAGCAGCTAGGCAGAGCCAAGACTCACTTATACTGGCTGAGCACTTTTCTTATATGTGCCTGCCAGGTTGTGATACCCACAGCGGGCCTGAGGTTGTACGTTCCATTGAACCCGCAAGAATCCCCTTTACAGAATCTACCCTTCACCAGACTTTGATGCAAAATATTTACTGGCGAGAATGTGTGAGAATTTGAAAATCCGACGAAATTCAGTTGGCGAAAATGTGTAACTCATATCTCCTGATAATCTATGGTTAACTACTTGTTCGAGATTTGGCGAATTAATCACAGGCGCTGCAGTCAATGTTAATGTGTGTGTGCTGCGCAGCGCTTACGCACTGCAACATCAACAATCTCCGAGACTGCACATCATCACTCAGCTCATCCTCCTCCAGGTGCCCAGGCTGTCATATGTGTGGTGCTCTTGTGAGAGCTACAGATGTCAAGATAATCCTGATGCAAGTGGCCAGAAACTACAGGCCGTTCAGACAGCTGCAAGACATCATGACGCTGATCAGCAGCTCCGCGATGCTCATGCCGCTGAACCAGTTGATAATGTCGCTTCTGGGCATGACCTACCTGTGCATGAGCCCTTTGGAGCCGACGAACCATTCGCGCATAGTGATGATGATGGGGAAGTGAACTTAAACCCTCCTGAGCCGCTAGACAACCTCTTCGAGACGTGGAATGAACCCCCCAATATTCAAGGCACAGATGACTTCAGCACTGATGAAGATGAAGAAATCTTTCAGCGACTTGGACAGTCCAACACACCAGAGGATAATGTGGAGGATCCTGTTGTTCCTGATGATGATCCTGGCGCTGGTCCCGAGGATGGTGATGGTGTCCCCGTGAGGATGAGGCTGTTGCCGCTATTGAGCTTTTTGTATCACAGGGCACCCAGTTTGATTTCTCAGATGTCCAAGAAGCAGTGGATATACATGCTGACCCTCTGTCATGCATGGACGACCACCCTGCAGTCCACAATGCATACATACGTGCATTTATATCTGCAGCTTTCTATAATGCTACTCAAGCAGCAGTATATCACGATCTTGAAGGAAAGGAGCGCTGTGGTGAAAGAAATAGTAGTCAGCTAGATATACCAACTAACTTACTAAATCCTAATGGGTGCAAGTGCAGTACTTCGACCCAAGGGGACTGCTATTGAACCACTTCCTTCTAATAGTGCGAGGGAAGAGAAAGGAAGAACTAAGCTCTAGGCCCGAGATATCCGACCGACCAAAGGTCCGAGTCCGAGAATGTCCGACGCGATATGGGATACTGATGGTACACCCGACGCAAGATACCAATGCGAGATACCAATGCGAGGTGGGGAGTCTGATGCCGATGAGCGGTATGTAAGTCTAGGCCGAGGTAAAGAGAGTCCAGGTATAACTAGGTATGACGAGGTAAGACTAGGTATGGGTTGCCGATGTAAGACTACCGGTATCGGTCCAGATCTCACAAGGCCTAGGTAAAGAAACCTTAGATAGAGTGCACTTAGAGCGGTCAAGGCATGTCTGATGATAAAAAGCAAGGGGGATCAATTTGCACAATCAAGGACTAACTAAGGTGACTCCTACAACGGTACCAGGTATGTCCGAGGAAGGGAAGTAAGGGATAATACGAACTTGAGTCCTATTTATCTAACTGCGTGAACGTCCAGAATCGCACAGGCGAGAGTAGTAGTGAAACACAAGGTACTCGGGTCAATATGTAATAAGGCTCGCGAGTGCTGCGGCCATGGGAATACATGTAATAATGCCTGCTGTTTGTTCAGTAACAGTAAAATGAGCTTAAAATGCACCAATGGAGATAGGTGGACATGGGTAGGACATGGGAGGATTTGGTACCGATGGGACAGAATGGTCGGCCGAGGTGCGTGATGGCCAATCTGACGAGCAAGGGACAGTTAAGACAACCCTGGCTCTTCTGCGAGAGACTGAGGCCATGGATCCGCATCGGCCGAGTTGGACATAGACCGGCGCGACACTAGGATGAGTTGAGTGAGTTGAGACTTTGCAAGGAAGTGGTGTATGGATGCGATGTGGATATCTAGGCTGCTTGACTCCTATAGCGAAATGGGGTTCTGCGAGGCTAGCCCGAGCTTGAACACCACAGCGCCTTCTGCGCACCGCTCAACAGGCCAACCCTGATATTGAGTATCCGGGGCTCGATAACTTTGCCCACACGCTCCCTACCCTCCTCAGACGACTTGGTCTATCAACAGATCAATTTATTGTCTATTTTTTCATATGCAATATCTGTTGGAAGTTACACCATCCATCAGAGCTTTCTGAGCTACTTTCCCCTGATTGCACTGTCGCTGATTGTGACGGATTCGTTGTACACCTCGAAACGACTTGCTGATGGCACCCTCAAATGAACTCCAACAAAAACCATCCCATATGTACCTCTCGAACGGGCTCTACAGCAATTTCTTCTATGACCAGGCAAATGGGACCAATTCCAGCACTGGTGTGGCCCTGAAGACCAGCCAGGTTGTGTCCCTCCCATTCCTGGTCGTGGATATGATTCATTTCCTGACCCATCTAAGCCAATGAGGGACATCTATGATGGATATGGCTGGCGTATGATCGAAGCGGGGCTAGAGCATTGAAGAGGTGGGCGCTGGGAAATAGAGGATGTAGACGTGCATGAACTTCATCAACGCTTCGTTTTGCTACCTTGTGGACTGGTCTGGCAGATCAATATTGACTGGTATGTCTTTCATGTCTTTCACCCTCGCCAATTTGACACTTACACTAGGTGCTCATTGTTACAGGTTTCAAGCAGTTGAAGGAAAATTAGGCTATCATTCTACAGGCGTGTTTTATGCTGTTATCTGCAACAATCCACGCTCTATTCATTATCTCCCAGAAGAAACAATACTCGTTATGGTTATGCCAGGACCCGACGAGCTGTCGTTAGAGGAGATGAACTATCTTTTGGAACCATTTGTGGAGAGTATGCTTCGTTTGGAAAAGGGTACGTTGTCTATAATATTTGTAGCTGTTTTCAATTGACGTCCTACAGGAGTAGAATTCACTGTTCATGGTCACGACGACCCAGAGGTTTCACACTCTCATCTGTACTGCAATGTATCCGATCTCCCGTCAAGTCGCAAAGTGACCGGCCTCCAAGGTCATAGTTCGAAATTCTTCATGTGTCCAACTTGTAAAACACCTTCCTTCTCGCTTGCTCACCCAAGTTGTTTTGATCCGTCAAGTACATATCTCACTGTGATACACTGCTCAATCACACTAACATTTGCTCACATAGAATTCAAGGACCAAGATGACTGGAGGTGGTCTGGTGAAGCATCTTAACAAGATCATCCTCATCAAGTCTGGTTTACTTAACAGAACAAGACTTGTCAAGCCAATGGACCGACTTGAGTCCTTTTTTTCAGGGCTCATTTGGCCAGTCGAAGCAAATTGCCTACCGCCTTCAGTCAGTGTGTTATTTGTTTTTCATTGTCCGCATCATAATCTGGTTCATAGCTTTCAACTGGCAAGGGATCACCAAAAGCAGACCAGTCCTTTTTGTCGCTTTGTATGATGCGTGGGCAGTTGACGGCGAGATTCCAGATCACGATGCACCTCCCTCGGCGTCTAATACCAAAAACTTCACTGCCCAAGCCACAATGCAGAAAACTCTACACTCGCGGCTTTTGGAACATCTGCTTGCTCGCAATACACATCCCTCTGACGCTAAAACTGAATGTGTTAACTCTGCCAAGATGGACCGTAATTTACGTCGACATTATGCTGTAATTCTTGAGTTCTCTGCCACAGTGCGCATCCTATCATCTCAATCTATCAGTCCAAACGATGTTCGCAGAGGATGTGTAGCTTTATCTCATGCTACACAGAGCTGGGCTCGCATGGGATGTCACCTGACACCGTACTTCCATTTTGTTAATCACTTTGAACGGCAGATGTATGAATTCAGGCCCTGTTATGCGACGTGGGCTTTTGCATTCGAGCGACATAATGGGAGGCTTGCAAAGATCAATCACAACCAGCATAAAGGAGGAGAACTTGAAGCTACACTGATGCGATGGTGGTGGAGCATAACATTTAATTATGAACTGGTATGTTTCCTTGCACGTTCATTTTAAAACTAACTTTATATGTCTACTATTAGATCCTTCATATAGAAGCTCTTCCTAACTGAACTGAGGACGACGAAGACTCCCTGCATCTTCTTCGGACATCCCTGAAGGCACAAGAGAAAGCCAATGTCATGCAAGGTCTGTCATATACCTCTCTTGACGTGCAGTTGTCAATGACATCCTATTGCGGTCTCGGACACTCATAGATCAATTGACTTTTGCAAAGCACCCTAAGAAGCTCAATCTGTTGGCGATCAGTGATGACTTGTATCAAGTCACATACGAGTACCTGCGCAATGAGTGGAGGGCAATTGTCCATCTCAAATGTCTACCAGCATTATGGGAGACAGCGAGAACTTTATGGGCGATGTCAGATCATACTCTCACTTGTGGCTGCAGAGACTTCGCTATGGTTCTGCCACCGCTCACTGAGGGAAGTCTGCCCGCTATGCATATATTAATGGACGTCAACCTGCGGAGATCCAGTACCTACTGCAAGTCACTCACAACAGACGCAATGCTGATGCAGCACCCCCCGTTGCAGATCTTGCCATTGTATGGCACTTTATTTCAGATGACAACATACCTGAGTTTCCATGGGCGCTTTGGTGAGCACATTCCAATTGTGTCTTACCATACTTACTATGTTTCAAGGGCGATAGATTTAGGTGTTGCTGCATGGTACGCAGACCAGCTTGGTGATTTGAAGGTGATTCCTATCAACGCTTTGACGGGACACTTCATCCTTGCTCCCATTGAGGTACATGACCAAATGCTTTGGATCACAGTGGTGTATGATCATGTACGTCTCTCATTTTATCATCCAATCAATTCACACTAACAGTTTAGAACACTAGGGCAACCCAGAAGCAGATGTGGACATTGACGATGACTGAACCATTACCGATATAACATTTTCTTGGAATGATACAGCTTGATTGCATGAGAAGTCTCTCATAGGTTACTAGGCATTGTACAAGTCCTCATCATCCTCATCAGCTAGTAACTCTCTTTCATCATCTGCTAATTTTTCATCATTCAAACCTTGTGATATGGCTTGGGCTTGTTCAGGTGCGCCTATGATAACTTCATTTTGATATGATCAACTCATCAATTTATGTGCAGGCAATGCTATGATAATAGCAACATACCGATGCTTCCATCGTACCTCAATGGGTCTTGGGGGTGCATATGCAGCCACTCAGGATTGATCGCACCAAGGGGTATCTTCGAACCTGTCTTGACATATGGCAAATCTCGATCACGTGGATCACCAATGATGCGTGGATGACGATGGCTGAATTTTTGTCCTTGAGTGCGAGGCCATTGAGGTGATCCATGGCTCGATTGAACTGATCTGATTCAGCTATGTGCTCGTCACATACTTGTGGAGTATGCACCAACAACGACCGGTAATTTTCACGGTGCGTAATCCATGGTTCCTTAGATGGCGCTTTTCGCTTACCCTTGGCCTTTGCAAGTGGCTTCTTGCGAACATCCTTTTCCTCATCTGTGTCTGGGTCGATTCCTCCATGTTCATCCTCTGATGGCATGCTCTCATCGGTGCTCTGATACACTAACTGGAATGCATAATCCCATGCAGTGGACATGAGACTTGATGCAGGTCGCACGTGGTTATGCTCCTCCAATTTCTGCAAGAAAGTCAGACAATGTATGTGAAGCTTATGAGAACCTTACAGCTCATTTGTGTGCTTCACGTCGCGCTACCCATGAGTCAACCTTTCATTTTACTTTTCCTGTTGTTAATGAGATTTTGTTTGCACTGCGGTACTCTGCTGCATGATACTTGAAGTTTTCGTGGAGGCGCTTGAGGATGTCTTCATCCGTTTTTGAAGTGAGGAGCTCCTGGGAAACGATTGGGCGACATGATCTGATATTTTGCTTGATATACTGTATAAGGTGAGTGTGCCACGATGCGTTTTCGCTCCAGTCTTTGCTAAAGTCGGGCCGAACTTCGTCCCCTTTGATTTGTATGCCATTGTTGTGCGGATGGTAGGCCTTTATTGCTGATGGTTTTGTAACACCGATGCCTTTCAAGAACCATTTGCGGACTCCCGTCTGTCTACAATGTAAGTGAATGCTGTTTAACCCTCACTCGATCACTCACATTCCAGATATTATCCTTTGAATTGTCGCTAACTGCCTGTGCTGCCTTGGATTTGGATGGCTCACTACTTCCTTGAAGCAATTTGGTAATCACGTCAACATTTGAAGAGACAGAATCGAGCAATGTGCATGTTTTTTCGATGTCTTCACCGAGCTGATTGTGTCCATTGTGTAGTGTTCGAAGCTCCAGACGAAGCATATCTATCTCACGAGCTTGTTCATCTATGATGTCAGTAGCTTCGTCCTGCTTCTCCTTCAGGGCCTTTATTTCATTCTCCAGGCGCATGATTGTGTCCGTAAGCCACTTTGGGATGACAGCTCGTGTGCCAGTGGTCGGTTTGGTGAGACTCGGAGTTCCTGTGCCCTCTCTATTGGTTGCTGATACACGTGAAGCTACAGATGACGAATGCGAGCCATCTGGAGTCGTGAAAGCTGTAGACAATGTGAGTGATGAACTCGTTAGTGTTGGTGAAATTGAATTGGTGTTTTGTGGTGTAGCAGATCGCTCTCGGGTGCTCGACAACATGTTGAAGGGATTGGTGCTGGTCGGACGTGTAGACAAGGTATCAAACAGACTCTTGATGATTGCAGCACTCGCTAACGTGAATGGGATTGATTGATTCGTAGCGGGAGGCGGCATTCTCTCGGTGTCTGGGTCGTAGCCTTGTATCAGTGACAGCGTGTCTAGCTCGTGTGGTGCCTGAAGTGCAGGATCGATGGGTACGTCTGCAGGTCCAGATGAACAATTGTTTACTTCTGACAGCTTTGCCTCCATCGCATCAGGACGCATATATGCATCATAACGCTGGTCCTGTGGCAACATAGCGTCAAATGACTGCGGCGGATGGGGTGGGATGGACTCCGGAGGAACTAGGTGAGCTACTGGCGCCGTCTTATGACCAACCGGAGGTGCTGACACGGATTCAAGTGCTGAAAACGGGTTTTTGAACCCACCTGTGGTCTGTGACTGCTTCCTACCACGTTTGGAGGTTGTCGACACATCCCCAGCTCCGTCATCCAGCTTCCTCTTCTGTACAGCCTTGTCCCCAGCCCCTTGGCTCTCTTCTGGGCTCGTTTCCTGGCCCAGCGCACTGTGTGAGGCAACCCGGGGCTTCCGAGGAGGCATAGTATCGGAGATTGTTGTGTTGCTATCCAGGGGTTGAATCGCACGTCAAAATAGCTTCAGTGGACTTGTCTGGACAGTCAGGAGCTTGCTCAGCAGTACAGGTTTTCCACAGAGGGCTCTGATCGTTGCAGAAGGAGGAAGGAGGCGCGTCGCAGGGGAATATGCTGTATTAGGCTACATACGGACAATTATTTGACAGGTGAATAGTTAGGGAGAATCTCAATTTTTTGCCGTTGAAAAGTGTCAGATAAGGGCTTATTCCGACGATTTTTGGCTCCTCAAGATATTGGTGATTATTTGCCCGAATATCGTCGGATATTTGCTCTTTCCGACGATAATCCACCGTTGGTACATTTGCGTCCAAGTCTGGTGCTTGGCAAGGTGAAATTCGTCACTTAAACTGACTTAAGTTATTTGGTGTTCTGATTCCTGAACAGCGTTCTCCTAAACCATCGCATCACTAAGTAGTACTGGCACGCCGCCCCAACTTCCTGCACACATTTGCGCCAAGTGACTCAGTGCAATATATCTTGAGGTTGAGCGTTAGACTGCCATTCCTGTTTTCATTTTTATTAGTGTAAGTAAATGTCATGCTATCAATTGGCTCGAGCAGGGGTTGTTAATTCCAAATGCAAGCGCCATTGTCCCACCATGCAGATGTATCTCATTTGAGAACTATACCGAGTAGGGCCTTGTAACGCCTGGTGGACGAAGAATACCGGGAGCATCAATAGTAGGGAGTTGGTAGTTGAACGATGGTGTTATCGCGGGAAACGCTAGCGAGGAGAGCAAAGTCAGAGTCAGTGATAGCGGGACACCTTCCATGGGTGCACGAAGAGGTACGATTTCTCGCCGTTATGTGACGAGTCATCCTTTGTGTTTCAGGCATTCCCTGTCCTCGCTTCTTCGAGTCCCGGCGGCCCAATCACCAAAGTTCAAACACGCTGCTCGAACATTCAACCATACTCATGCACGAGTATTGGACGAGATTCAACCAATCCTGCACCAACTAATCCGCAGGCCACCTGACCACCAACCAACCAAAATACTTCTTTTTCTGACTTTTCTAATGGCGTTGCTTGGGCATTGCCAACAGTTGAAATTCAGCTGACAGGCGCTCATCAAGAACATGATAATCAATCTTTCATGACACGATTTGAAGGCTTTAGGGCCGCCTTCCTGTGACGACGCCGCAAATTGGGTATGGTGTGTCTTGTATCAGATTCTGCACTTACCATTTATTGACATCCTTAACATGATGATATGATAGGCCAATGTCCGACTCGGATGTGGTCGGAGAAGGTGTGCATATGCTTACATTTCTTAGGACGCAGATTATTTATTGAATGGGTTATACAGGTGAGTGATCTGTCTACTTCTCCCTTGTTTTATATATTCAACATTTCTGTCATGCCGATATACTAAGCTCCCTGTATCTTTACAGTATATCTCAGGGATACTCAACTAGGCTATCTCTGGCCGTGAAAACTGATGCCCCGTCAGCACCGCACAATGGAGAATGGAGGTTTTGCACAGACTGCACTTGGCACCATTGTTGGCAACCTTATGATACGAAAGCCCGATAACCGAAGCAGAGAGCGAAAAGGTGCACGTGAAGCGACAGAGGGCCTGAGGACGAGGAGCAAAGATAGTATTGAGATATGTGCTCGCACACGGGTAGAACGTGAGTTGTCTGTTTTACTTCTTTGCACACGCGGAAACTTGAAAACCATATTTGATGCCAAGGCCAGACCAAAAATAAACCGTCAAAAATAGGGGACAGGAGCAACGGACAGCATCAATTCATCCCCCGATCTCATCTCAATGATCTAAGCACCGGATGATGGTATATATGCCATCGCCATACACCGCCAAGTTCGCCTCTTACCCACACCCATTCTCTAACAATATGACCATAGTCTTAGATGGCCCCACTTGGTGGCCGGCCATCAGTGCATATCGTTTTTCCAGCTATTATATAGGTTCGTGGGGAACAGTCGGATGTTGAAGCTGATGGATCTCAATCTAACCTTGGCTGCGGTTTTGCAGTTGCCGCCATTGTTGGAGTGATGTATGATTGGGGTGAGCATGATAATATTGAAGAACTGCCAATATATTACAAGTACCTCCAGCGCTTACATTTGGACAAGAGGTATGTTGACGCTATGACCGGAGCAGCCATGTCGCTAAGAATGGATTCATAGGTCGAACTGATCTGGGTAGGTAGAGTCTCATGTGAGAGGAACAGACACAAAATACACCCAATTCCAGAGGCACCGCTGGTCCCTAATGACAGTTCTGTATCTCAGTGTACGTAGTTTGTTTGTCGCGGTTGCCATGTTGTGCTGACTTGAAAGTATCCTAGGTGCGCTACCTTGGGATCTTATATGCCGCGTATGTTCGGAAGGCCAAACATTCGGTGTTATGCTGATCGTCTATCTCTCGCAATCATCCTGAACATGCTATGTGTGTCTCCTTAGTATATTTGCTGTTTTCGCGTCCTCTGACCAATGGAATACAGACGATATTCCGACCATCTCGCTGGAACATGCAGTGAGTCTTCTGCACATAGGCCTACTATTCCCCTTCAATTAACTCTGGTGCCCTGTAGGGGTGAGTACGTTTATTTACTAACTTCTTGGTTCCCTAATGACTGCCACGCTATACTTCCACAGATGTGAGTCTGTTTGGAGTGTGTGCCACCCAGCGCTTGTCACTGACCGGATTTGTCAGGCTTTATTATATTCGTCATATTGAATTGGACAAGTGTTATGGAATTTGCAGTGCTGTGGGGTGAGCTTGGCACTTGCGAGAACTCAGTGGTAATGACTTGGCTGAAACATGCTGCAAGTCATCATCATCACTCGGTTGCATGCCATGTATCAACTATCCAGAAAGATATTGATATTTCTCATTGTCACCTTCCTGGCTGTCAACATTTTCAACGGAGTGGTCGTCGTAGTGATAACGATGCATACTTCAGGGGGTACGCTTAATTGTCGATGACAAAAAATGCGCATCTAATTGATGAATACCAGAGGAACTCATTCTCTCCGGCATCTATCAGTGTTCGATTGGCTCGACTGACTATGTGGAATATATCCTACTTCTGGCTCCCATTACTTGGATACTTGGCTTTGTGTGGGAGGTCTTCGCACTGTGTCACACAATCTGGATGGCGGTAAAAACGCTTCCGTGAACTGCGACAACATTCGGCAGGAAAGATTGTTGGAGACTGTTTCACGATGTTGATCCAAACTCACATGCTTTACTTTATGGGGTGAGCTTGTATTGTGATTATTGTTGCCTTTTTTCTACTCAAGGGTCGGACGCGGTAGGATGGTTGCTATTTCTTGCTTCACCTTCATTCTGAATTTCTCTCCAACTTTCTCAACGGTATGTCAATCTTTCACCTCTGCATGCGACCACGGTTCATCATTTCTATAGGACCCACTTTTCCTGGAAAGTCAGATTTATTCTGGGCTTCTTCAGATTTTGGCGGTCTTGCAATCGTTTGTGCTGGGACCACGCCTGATCCTTAGCATTCGAGAATATTACGCTAAGCTCGTGGCCGATTCCGACGCAGCAACCGGCATAACCACAATCGCTTTCGAAGAGCGTGTGCATACATCGACTAGTAGTAGTGTGTAATGCTCGTTTAGTGCACTGCAAAGGAGTAGGGGAATTTGCTTTTATTTGTTCCTACTTTTGTGATACTATGCAAGCTTCTTCGACTGTATTGGAATCGGGTTGTTGTTTGGTATACAGGCCGATACTCCTTCAAGATCTCTACGATGGTCATTGGCCTCTTCACTCGCAACTCGTACACGCGCCTTCTCAGGATGCGTGAAGTCGCAGTACCGCCTGTGTGAGCAGCTTCGTCCTGAGTTTATTGTTTCAGGACCACCTCAAGTATTTGCTCTCCTCGCCTCCTCACCTATAACTCCCAGCAGATGGCACCTCATGGATCGCATGTACACGACAGCTCTCAACTAGTATCTGGTGTAACATCAACATTGAATCGGATGTAGCACCAACAATCATACCGTAACACAAACAATCCATCCTGCCAGTACACCCGCCAGACATCCATCTCCATAATCTATTTCGCCATCGATCTTCGCCAACTCACCTCCACGCGCACACCATTCTTGCCATTCTCAGCGCTCCATGCTGTGATTCACAAGTAAGATGCGTACCCTAACGCATTTAATTGCACAATGCATGGCACAGAACTATCTGAGCCCTGATCTGTTGCCTCGGGGCTTGCAGCGTGTGTCACGATCTGCATATGATATTCAGCTCGCCAGTAGACACCTACTAGGCTACAAGCCACGCCATGGCTGAACTTGCTAATAAGTTAGCTTTTCTTCGAGTTCTTTCCGGGCCTGAATGTGACATTGCGTACCTGGCCCCGTCAGTAAACCTAGGACCTTTGTCAGGTTTCAACTTTACGGTAAAGTTGGAACCTACACATGTACGTCACGTAGCCGCACCAAGTCGTGGTTGCCAATCAAGACAAAACTTGTACTTACATAAATAATTCATTTACGTAGATTACAACACGCCGTGCATGCTCTCGGCGGGTGGGCAGTGGCTGCCCACTCAAATATTTCTCGTTACATCTGGTGTATGACTTCCCACTTAGTAGTATATCCAATGCTCAAGACTCGTTGTACACCTCGCCAAGTCAAGAGAGTGGATTACGAGATGAAACCCAAAGCAGGATTCCTGTCTCTTGCTGGAGAACTACTGTTTTACATTCTCAGTCTTCTTCCTTGCCGAGATATTCTTCGTTGCACATCCGTGAGTTACAATCGTGTTGGTTATTATCTTAAACAAACTTTTATACCGACAATCCTCTTGCTCTGACAGGTATGTAAGGCCCTTCGCCAGACGTACATCTCCTCCTCCAGGCTTCAGTACATCGTTGAACTTAGTGGCCAACACTTACTTCCTATGCCCAACACGGGCGATCTCGCTCCTGTTTCCCAGCGTCTACAACTCTTGAGGGACAGAGCCCACGCATGGTTCAAGTTTGATCTCTACTCTTTCAAAACGATTTCCATACCAAACATACCGTATGGTCATGAAACATTTTTCACTGATGGGCATTTCTACTTCTGGGACAATATGGAAAACTCGGCCACGATCATCCCAGTTCTACCAAAGCCCTCGCAACAAATAATCAAGCGCAAGTGGTCCCCAGAAGCGTTATGTGTAGTGCCCCACTCAATCAACCGCAACGTGTTCATAGACCCAGGACAAAACCTGATTGCCGTGCTGTATTATGTTGATGACGAGCCTGAGACGTTGTACATTAACCTTCGAGCGCTGGATAGTGGTGGTATCCACCCCCGGGCTGCTGGACGGACGCTGTTTCTGTCAGACCTGCTCGAAAACGATGACGACGACCTCATTGAAACAACAGGAACGAGCCTCAAAGGTTGTGGGAGGCACATCGCGTTGCAGCGTTTATATGTGGATTCAGTTGAAGATGAGGATGAAAATAGGTCGCAGCTTCAGATTTGGGACTGGCAACACTCAACGACATCTTGTGTGAGTTGATCAGAAATTGTTGAATCGTTGAAAGACTTGATGGTTGATTCTCTGTTTAGAGTGTCCTCAGCGATGTAATGCGTTACCCAGCTGTTGGCTCAACCGATTTTTGTTTTCTCGAAAACAATAGGTTGCTAGTTGTCATTGAGGATTTGAAGCTCTATTCAATCGAGGATATGTCACAGGCGCCGCAATTACTGGCGTGCTTCCTGCCGCCCCTCTTATTATCAAACATGCAGTGCCTCTTTCCGATGGATGATATTGAACATAGCGCACAGCTGCAGATGCAAGCCCGACAAACGATGCACACCCCAGACCCTACAAATCAATTACTATGCCTTATCGCATCTGATCTAGTCTTCGTTATTTCCACGAGGATCTTCTTCGACCTCGATGGAATAGCAGTTGCAACGCCAATACCATGGGATCATTGGGGTCCTTCAAACACCCGTGTTCTTGAGCACCCGGATCCATCTCGATTCAAAATTCACGTTCGCGGCAATCGAGTTTTGCAGTCATTCGAAGCCAGTGCGGGCTCTATCCAGTATAAATTACGTATGATGGACTTCAGCCCGCTAGCTGTAACGAACAGGCGGGGTCTAGGACGAGTGGTGAAAGAGCCATCGACGATAGACATCGCTGGATCCTTTGGAAGCTCTAGGGTCAGCTTGACAACGTCTCTGCCTTACGTCGAGGTCGTATCGGATAGAAGATTCCACAAGTTGCACAACACATGGCTTGAGAGGGATAGAATATATTTACTCAACACAATTTGGGAATACACTGTCATACACGGTTCTGTTCGGGATCTTACAGGGTTGTCAAGGAGGCTTGAGGCCATTGACTTATAGCGTAGAGTCTGTTATCAGCTAGTCGATCTGACTGATTAGTTCTGATGTCGAGTAGATGACCTATTAAATGCTTAAACTAATATCAAGAGTCAAGGCCTTCTTAACGGACTTTGTTGGAATCGTACCACAGAAGTGAGCTGATGTAGGTTATGTCCAACATAGGGCTCCGCCCCAACGAACAATAAACAATAATTTTAAAATTTTTGAAAAAAAAAGGGAGCCGAGTGATTGAAAAATTCAACATTGCGGAGATACATAGTGACGAAGACTTTGACAGTTCGACTGGAAAAGATGATTAATCTACAAGACACAAATGATGAGGAACGAACACTAGACGAATAGTGTTATGAAAGCGTTTGTGCTTTGGGGATCGCGAGCACAGTGCTTCGGAACATGTTTTGGAGATGGGGGCGGGTAGACAAAGTGCCGACAAACGGGGATGCGACGAAGAAAAAGAAAAGAAACAAAGCTCACGAATCTTGGTAACACAAGTCTTTTGAGGGAGTGCACGAACCAAACTTCTCCAGGAGAGAAGTACGCTATGGAGGATCTCCAGCCTCAGGGGGACGCAGTATGTATAAATGGCCTAAAGAAATTAATGTGAACGAGTAACACCAGAATTTCACCCTTCGTACGGAGTCTAAGTCTGATTCACAACTTTATGTGCAGGTGCCAATGCAAGCCCGGAGAGTACAAGTGTTGATTGAACGTTTGAATGTCGGGCAATTGGAACTCGCCTTGTACTATTTCAGTCTTGACAAGTGTTTGATCGAGGTCGGCATATGATTATATGATTATATGAGTGTTTGTATGGATTATCATCGAGCAGAGGCGCATAATATGAATACTTTGGTGCGACGATAGCGCTTCGGCGAGGAGCTTCAAGTTGACGGTGAAATTGAGTTTGTAGATCTTTGTTTGTTGTTGTTAGTATTCAGGCACCCTTATCCGCCTGAAGTGTATAACCTTGTGCACTCCAACCCCATGCTATATACTTCGCGGAGTCCTCTGCCTCATCCAAGTTTCCCTCGAATTGGATTATTTACTATTTCAGGCACTTAAGTGATTCGGTGTTCTGAATAGTGTTCTCCTAAACTATTGTCTTGTTCACTTGTGTGACTATCAATTAGCTCGAGCAGGGGTTGTTACGTCCATTTCGAAAGGCAAGCGCCACTGTCCCACCGCGCAGATGCGTCTCATCCGAGAATTTCACCGAGTAGGGCCTTGTAACGCCTGGTGGATGAAGAACAACGGGAGCATCCATCGATCTCAGTAGAAGGGAGTTGGTAGTTGAATGATGGTGTTGTCGCTGGAAGCGCTAATGAGGAGAGCAAAGTCAGAGTCAAAGTCATAGCGGGGCTTCCATGGGTGCACGAAGAGGTACGATTTCTCGCCGTCATATGACGAATCATCCTTCATCCTTTGTGTTTCAGACATTCCCTCTCCTCACTTCCTCGAGTCTAATCACCAAACACGCTACTCAAGCATTTGACCATGGTCATGCACGAGTAGTGGACGAGAGCCAATCAATCTTGCACCGAGATCTACCTTGGATCTACCAACTAATTCCACCTGAGTACCAACCAACCATGATTACTATTCCTCTCTATCCACAACCTGCACAACAAACAGCGCAAGTTATTTAGTCCCCGCCTTCCATCCTAACAGCATACAAGATACACGATGGATTTAGCGTAGTGTGCGTTTACTGCAGAGTGGCACTGCCCTTACTGTGATATTGCAACTCGAGTTGACAGTTCGTGACTTCTTTTTCTGACTGTTCTAATGGCATTTCCAACAGTTCAAACTCAGCTGACCGGCGCTCATCGAGAACATGATATTTAATTTCTCATGGCATAATTTGAAGGTTGTAAGGATGACGCACGGGTCTTCGTCTCTCTCATTTCTGTTTGTGGTCGATATCCACCGCACATAAATCATGGATTGTGAATCTGAGGCTGTGACGATCGATATCCCATCAACCACACGCTGTATGATGTGCCTTGTATCTGATTCCGCACTTACCATTTACTGGCTTCCTTATCATGATGATATGATAGGCTGATGCGACTGAGGTGGTCGGAGAAGGTGTGCATATGTATATGCATATGCTTACATTGCTCAGGACGCGGATTATTTGTTGAATGGGTTATACAGGTGAGTGATCTGTCTATTTTTCTCTTGTTTTATATATCCAATGTTCCTGTCACGTCGATATAAGCTCACTTTATTTTGACTGTATATCTCAGAGATTCTCAACTAGGCCATCTCTAGCCGTGCAAACTGATGCCCCACGATGCAGATCGGAGGTTCTGCACAGACTGCACTCATTATTGTTGGCAACCATATGATACGAAAGCCAGATAACCGGGGCAGAGAGCGATAAGGTACTCGTGAGGCGATAGATGTCCCAAGGACGAGGAGCAGAGATAGCAGACATTGAGATATGCGCTCGCACACAGGCAGAACGTGAGTTATCTGTTTGCTTCGTATGGATGTCCCCTATCTTTGACGGTTTATTTTTGGTCTGGCCTTGGCATGGCAACACACTTTGCCTTCTGTACTCAAGTTGCCACCTGTGCAAATGGTTCACAACCAACGTTTACGTTGAGCCCTTCGATTGATTTTACATCAAGGGAGCAACGGACATCATCCCTTGATCACATTTTGGTGATATAAGCACTGGATAGTGGTATATATACCATCGCCATACGTCCACCGAGTTCGCCGCTTACCTACACCCATTCTCTAACAACATGACCATAGTCTCAGACGACCCCAGTTGGTGGCCGTCGATCGAGGCATATCGTTTTTCCAGCTATTTTATAGGTTCGTGGAGGGCAGTCGGATGTTGAAACCGATACCTCAATCTAACCTTGACTGCGGTTCGCAGTTGCCATCTTTGTTGGACTACTGTATGATTGGGGTGAGCATGACAATATTAAAGGACTGCTGATGTCTCACAATTATTTTCAGCACTTACGTTCGGACAAGAGGTATGTTGACACTATGACCGGAGCAGCCATGACGCTAAAGAATGATTTTATAGGTCGAATTGATCTGGGTGAGTAGAGTCTCATGTCAGAGGAACGCACATGAAAATACACCTAATTCCAGAGGCACAACTGGTCCCTAGTGACGGTTTTGTATCTCAGTGTACATAGCTTGTTTTTCGCGGTTGCTATGTTGTGCTGACTTGAAAGTATCCTAGGTGCGCTACCTTGGAATCTTGTATACTGCGTATGTTCGGAAGGCTAAACAATCGGTGTTGTCCTAATCATCTATCTCTCATAACCAGCCTGAACATGCTGTGTATGTCTTCTTAGTACACGTGCTGTCTTCTCTTTTCTGACCAATGGAATACAGTCAGTGTTCCGACCATCTCGCTGACAGATACAGTGAGTCTTCTGCACAGATGCGTATTATTTACCTCCAATTAACTGTGGTGCCCTGTAGAAGTGAGTACGATTCTTTACTAACTTCTTGGTTCCCTAATGACTGCCACACTATACTTCCACAGATGTGAGCCTGTTTGGACTCTGTGTCACCCAGGGCTTGTCACTGACTGGATTTGTCAGGCTCTATTATATACGCCGTACTCAATTGAACAAGTATTGTGGTATTTGCAATGCTGTGGGGTGAGCTTGGCACTTGCGAGAAATCAGTGGTATTGACCTGACTGAAACATACTGCAAGTCATCATCATCACTCGGTTGCATGCCATGTATCAACTATCCAGAAAGATCCTGATATTTCTCAGTGTCACCTTCCTGGCTGTCAACATGGTCGAAGGAGTGGGCGCCGTAATTATAACGATGCATACTTCAGGAGGTACACTTAATTGTGGATGACGAAAATACGCATCTCATTGATGAATACCAGAGGAACTCATTCTCTCCGGCACCTATCAGTGTTCGATTGGCTCGATTGGCTATGCGGAAGATATCCTACTTCTAGTTTCCATTACTTGGATATCTGGCTTTATGTGGGAGGTCTTCGCACTGTGTCACACAGTCTGGATGGCGGTAAAACGCTTCCGTGAACTGCGAGAACATTCGGCAGGATGGATTGTCGGGGACTGTTTCACGATGTTGATCAAAACTCACATGCTTTACTTTACGGGGTGAGCTTGTATTGTGATTATTGTTCCCTTTTTCTGCTGAAGGGTCGGACACTGTAGCATGGTTGCTATTTCTTGCTTCGCCTTCATTCTTAATTTCTCTCCAACTATCTCAACGGTATGTCAATCTTTCACCTACCTCTGCATGTGACCACGGTTCATCATTTCTATAGGACCCACTTTCCCTGGGAAGTCAGATTGATTTTGGGCTTCTTCAGATTTTGGAGGTCGTGCAGAAGTTTGTGCTAGGGCCCCGCCTGATCCTTAGCATTCGAGAATATCACGCTAAGCTCGTGGCCGATTCTGACGCAGCAACCGGCATGACCTCAATCGCTTTCGAAGAGCGTGTGCATATATCGACTGGTAGTAGTGTGTAATGCTCGGTTAGTGCTCTGCAAGGAGCAGGGGAATTTACTTTATTTATTCCCACTCTTGTGATAGTATGCAAGTTTCTTCGATTGTATTGGAATCGGCTTGTTGTTTGGTATGCAGCCCGATACTCCTTCAAGATCTCTACAATGGTGATTGGCCTCTGCACTCGCAAGTCGTACACACGCCTTCTCAGGATGCGTGAAGTCGCAGTGAGAGCGGTTATATCCTAAGTTTGTTGTTTCAGGACAGGCCTGCTGTTGGCACCTCAAGTATTTGCTCTCCTCACCTCCTCGCCTATAACTCTCAGCAAATGGCGCCCCATGGATCGCATGTGCACGACAGTTCTCAACTAGTATCTGGTGTAAGTTAGTAGTACTATTGGCCCGCAGTGCTGTCGCGGTCCGGTTCAGTCCGGTTCAGAGGTCGCCGCACAAGAACCGAAAACCGAAAACCATGGTCCAGTTCAGCAAAATCGTCGAACCACCGTGTAACATCAACATTGAATCAGAAGTAGCATCAACAATCATACCGTAACACAAACAATTCGTCCTGCCAGTAGTACACCCGCCGGACATACATCTCCATAATTTACTTCGCCATCGATCTTGTCCAACTCACCTTCACTGCACGCACGCCATTCTTGCCATCCTCAGCGCTCCATGCTGTGATTCACAAGTAAGATGCGTAACCTAGCGTCTTTAATTGCACAATGCATGGCACAGAACTATCTGAGCCCTGATCTTTGCCTCGGGGCTCGCAGTGTGTCACAATCTGCATATGATATTCAGCTCGCCAGTAGACACCTACCGCGTCACCTACTAGGCTACACGCCACGCTATGGCTGAACTTGCTAATAAGTTAGCTTTTCTTCAAGTTCTTCCCGAGCCTGAATGTGGCATTGCATACCTGGCCCCGTCAGTAAACCTAGGTTTCAACTTTACCGTAAGGTTGGAACCTATTCATGTACGTAGCCGTACCAAGTCGTGGTTGCCAATCAAGACAAAACTTGTACTTACATAAATAATTCATTTACGTAGATTAAAACACGCCGTACATGCTCTCGGCGGTGGTTGGTCACTCAATTTTTTTTTTCTGGTGTATGACTTCCCACTCGTATCCAATACTCGAGACTCATTGTACACCTCGCCAAGTCAAGAGAGTGGACTACGAGATGAAACCCAAATCAGGATTACCGTCTCTTGCTGAGGAACTGCAGTTTTACATTCTCAGCTTTCTTTCTTGCCGAGATATACTTCGTTGCACATCCGTGAGTTACAATCGTGTTGATATGCCATTGCTATCTTAGACAGACTTTTGTACCGACAATCTTCTACAGGTATGTAAGACCCTTCGCCAGACATACATGTCCTCTTCCAGGCTTCAGTACATCGTTGAACTCAGTGGCCAACACTTACTTCCTGTGCCCAACACCGGCGATCTGCCTCCTGTTTCCCAGCGCCTACAACTCTTGAGGGACAGAGCCCACGCATGGTTCAAGTTTGATCTCCACTCTTTCAAAACAATTTCCGTACCAAACACACGGTACGGTCAAACATTTTTCACTGATGGGCATTTCTACTTCTGGGACGAGTTTGCAACCTCGGCCACGATCATTCCAGTACTACCAAATCCCTCACAACAAATAATCGAGCGCAAGTGGTCTCCGGAAGCGTTATGTGTAGTTCCCCACTCAATAAAACGTGGCGCGTTCATAGACCCAGGACAAAACCTGATTGCCGTGCTGTATTATGTTGATGACGAGTCTGAGACGTTCTACATTGACCTTCGAGTGCTGGATAGTGGTGGTGTCCACCCCCGGGCTGCTGGATGGACGCTGTTTCTGTCAGATCTGCCCGAAGACGATGACGACGACCTCATTGAAACAACGGGAACGAGCCTTAAAGGTTGTGGGAGGCACATCGCGTTGCAGCGTGTATATGTGACTTCAGTTGAAGATGAGGATGGAGAAGGAATTTCCCGCGAGCATATGTTGCAGCTACAGATTTGGGACTGGCAACACTCAACGACATCCAGTGTGAGTTGATCAGAATTGTTGAATCGTTGAAAGACTTGATGGTTAATTCTCTGTTTAGAGTGTCCTCAACGACGTAATACGTTACCCAGCTGTTGGCTCAATCGATTTTTGTTTTCTTGAAAACAATAGGTTGCTAGTTGTCATTGAGGATTTGAAGCTCTATTCAATCGAGGATATGTCACAGGCGCCGCAATTACTGGCGTGCTTCCTGCCGCCCCTCTTACTGTCAAATATGCAGTGCCTCTTTCCGATGGATGATATTGAACATAGCGCACAACTGCAGATGCAAGCCCGACAAACGATGCACACCCCAGACGCTACAAGTCAACTATTATGCCTTATCGCGTCTGATCTAGTCTTCGTCATTTCCACGAGAATTTTCTTCGACCTCGATGGAATAGCAGTTGCAGTGCCAATACCATGGGATCATTGGGGTCCTTCAAACACCCGTGTTCTTGAGCACCCGGATCCATCTCGATTCAAAATTCACGTTCGCGGCAATCGAGTTTTGCAGTCATTCGAAGTCGATACGGGTTCCATCCAGTATAAATTACGTATGATGGACTTCAGCCCGCTAGCTGTAACGAACAGGCGGGGGTCTAGGACGAGTGGTGAAAGAGCCATCGACGATAGACATCGCTGGATCCTTTGGAAGCTCTGGGATCAGCTTAACAACGTCTTTGCCTTACGTCGAGGTCGTATCGGATAGAAGATTCCACAAGTTGCAGAACATATGGCTTGAGAGGGATAGAATATATTTGCTCAACACAATTTGGGAATACACTGTCATACAAGGTTCTGTTCGGGATCTTACAGGGTTGTCAAGGAGGCTTGAGGCCATTGACTTATAGCGTAGAGTCTGTTATCAGCTAGTCAATTTAGCTAGTTAGTTCTGATGGCGAGTCGATGACCTTGTCAATGCTTAGACTACTATCAAGAGTCAGGGTCTTCTTAACGGATTTTGTTGGAGTCATACCATGGAAGTAAGCTGAATGATTGAAAAATTCAACGTTGTGGAGAAGCAAACTCGACACAGCGACGAAGTTAGTGCTTGTGACAGTTCGAGTGGAAAAGATGATTAATCTACAAGACAAATGATGAGGCAAAAAACCAAACGAATCGTGTTACGAAAGCGCGAAACGTTTGTGCTTTAGGGATCGCGAGCGCGAGCACAGTGCTTCGGAACATGTTTTGGAGATTGGGTGGGTGGACAAAAGCGCCGACAAACGGGGCCGCGACGAAGAAAAATAAAAGAACAAAGCTCACGAATCTTGGGAGCACAAGTCTTTTGAGGGAGTGCACGAATCAAACTTCTCCAGGAGAGAAGTACGCGATGGAGGATCGCAGGGGGACGCGGTATGTATAAGTTACCTAAAGGAATTAATGTGAACGAGTGACACTAGAACTCATCTTGCTTTACAATAACGCCAGCGGAGGGACATAAGTGTTGTGCAGATTGCTGAAAATGAGCCGAGATATTTGGGGATCCTCGAGGAGTTGAGCAAGAAGCGCTGAGCACTGGGCGCACTGAGTTTGAATTCGGGCCTTGTTTGTCTGATACTCCTTCAAGATCTCTACGACAATCATTGGCCTCTTCACTCACAAGCAGTACACACGCCTTCTCCCTACTCTCCAGCAGCACCCTCGTCCACCCTACTGGTAAATTCCTGTCCCGTAGGTCAGCCGGAAGTAACAGAGCCAATTGCCTTGTGTGACCCATCCCACCTCAGATGTTGTATAGATCATGGTACACCTCACCCTTTTGTCCTTCGAATCTAAAGTCCTTTGCCTCATCCCGCCTGCAAATTACATTCAGACGTCATTCCGAGCGGCAAACATGGCTCTCATTGCTTTTGGTTAGCCTTTACTCGAGACTCGCTTTGTACCATGTAGTTCACAACGCACCTTCAAAATCTTGCCACGCAGCCAGTCCGCCATGCACACCTCCAGAGTCAAAACAACAAGGTGCCCAGGTTGCCCTCTCACTCAGGATTCGAGCATGGCTTGACTTTCCCTTTCGTCCAACTATAATAAGTCTCAGTACTGGCCGGCAACTTCCTGGTGCATCTACGCCGCCCTCTGCACTCGAGTTAGTTGTGGTATATGCATCAATCGGAATATATTACTCCACGAAACACGGGAGTATAACTCACGAGTATCGTGACGTACACATTCGATGATACGAGTCATGGCGGTTGGTGATGCCGCAGCAGTGGTTAATATTCCTGGATGCAGGATATTCCATAGAGATGGAGCAATAGAGTTTAAGTAAGATAATGTCCCCCCTAATCTAATATACACAGTCCATGTCCTACATCTATCTAACATCAACATCGTCATCAACCAACCAACCAAACTCACCCACATCTAACTGCTCGGGGTATCAACCGACAGTCCATCATCGCACCCAGCCTTCTCATCGCCTTTTGGGTCCACTTTCTCCCACTCCTTCAACGCACTCTCAAGGCCCTCCCACACCGCCTGACCAAGATGCACGCCCCCCAATTCCCCATCATCCGGCACCTGCGCGTCAGCAGTATCAGCCGTTACAGGGCTCGGTATCCGGAGGTTGACAACCGCACACTCGCGGTAGAGCGCGCCTGCTTTCAGCACTTCTTCTGGAGCATCTGCGCCTTGGCGAGCATTGCTCTTGAAAGGCGTTGGGAGAAAAAGGACGTGCAGCACGGATTGCGTAGCAGATGTCGTTGATTTTGTGAGAAGACGGAGGAAAGGCTGGAGGAGCATGTACCTGAAGAATCGTTAGTATTTAAGTATTCAAATCAAATGAAGAATCTGACAGAACAATGCCGAACATGGATTGATTCCGTCCCCGAACTGCATTTAATAGCGGTGCGATGGTATCTGATCTAGAGAGCCCGGGACACACGGATACAGCGACGATGTTGGACTTTTGCACCTTGTCGCTGACGACGTGGATGGTGGAGTCGTCTGTTTTCGGTATTTGCCCGCCTGATGGCAGTGCATCGAGGACACGCTGGAGGTGGCGGGTGAAAATGACCATTTGAAGCGAGCGCCTGCCCTCTTGGTGAAAAAGTGAAGATGTTAGAGGTGGCGTGAAGGTTGGGGAATAAGAAGGTGCGGCGGCGGCGTAGAAAGGGTTGATGACGTTGATGATGCGTATATCACGTTCGGCGGGTGCGACGAGGAGGACGGGAAGGAGAAGGGTGAGAATTAAGAATGATGCTAATGAAACGTTTTGTCTCTCCTGGGTTAGTACAGCAGGATCCTGGCGACCGATCATAGAGCCTAGCTGTTGATACTCATGTGCGAATATGATAGCATCCAGTCTATTCTCCTTTGCTGTGAGGAAGCGGGAGCAGAAGGAACGGACAGAAGACGCAGATGTCAAATCACATTCGTCTGCGAATATCTGGTCGTTCTTGGTGGTTGATCGCAAGAGGTTGATGAGAATATCTACTTCAGGATCTTGGACTGGCTTGGGTGAGAGAGCAATGATATGTGCGCCTCGCTGAGCAAGGTTCTGGATGAGCGTCAGGCCTAACGGAGTGAACCCTCCCTGATCAAGTGAGTGATGCGGATGCACGTGGGAGGGTAGCATACGTACTGTGAGGAGGACTACCCTGGCATGCATATCCCGTTCACGGTTCGTCGTGCGCCCTTGTGAAAATGCGCGAACCACTACAATGGCAAGGATAGAAATGAATGCGTGCACGTAGTATTTGGATGGGAGCACGGCATTGACTGCCGCTGCAAGGACTTTGAGCACCATTGGGAAGTTTCGCGATATCTATAAGTTATGCAAACAGGGTTGTCATTTGCTCTGAGGAGGTTCAAGGGTGCTTTGATGGTGTGCTTCAAGGGTATATTGTGGTTTGATCACGTTGTGCTCAGTCGTGCAGCTCTCGTGCTTTCATTGTAGCAGATTTGCGGAGTCTCAAAAAGCTTTCCGAACTTCCTCTGGGCCGCGTCAAACTTCGCAGACATTGGCCCCATCGATCGTTCCCACATTCAAATATTCACGCCTCTGGAGTGGAAGTGAAGACACTGCTATGCCGAGTCCGCATCAGAGAGGATAAGCCACGGAAATGCACCATCCAATAACTACGATTTGCAACTGAGGACTGTGTTGGAGACGCGCGTTACGCGTAGTAACTGTATCATTAACACTCACTCAACAGCTTCGTGAGCTGCAGTCTGCTTCTCCTTTGAAGAGACTCACTCCTCTCGGCACTTTTGAGTTCACATCATCCTCACACGCATCGTTTTCATGGTGCTCTCGTTCTCACCGCCTTCGTTATAGATGTCGCAATTCCATCATTGGAATTGTACAGTGCACGCAATAAACTGATCCACATATTTCGTCTCTCTCATTTTTGGCCCACTTCAAGTTAATGTGCTAGATGCAACGGGAACTTGAACGACCACAAAATGACCGCAACAGCGATGTCCGTCTGTTCTTCTTCTAAATCCGCTGAGGAAGCACTGATGTCTATACTTCATCTTAATCCACTCCTTCACACGACACATACACAACATCATCTCTGATGTCATGAACTTGTCCGTCGTTACATGTTCTCACAGACCAGCACAAACATCATGAAGTACTATGCAGTCAACTCAATTCAGTTCGCTTGGACAGCCCTAAACTCGGAATAGATGCTGGATATAGAACAGAAGTACGAAGTATAATACATTGCACACTCGGTCACATTTAAATTGTATCTGAAATCTCCACAATGGATCCATTGCTGCGATCATCGTTGGTACTAAGGTCTGCAGGTGTCGGTTTTAGTAAGCGCGAGGAATGGAAAGGGTTTTGAAGAGACTCACTCCTCTTGGCATTTTTGCCAGTGTTGTCCATGTGCCATGCGGCTCAAATCAAGCTCAGGACCTTCTCTGCGTATCACTAATGGAGCTGCAGGGTCATGCAATGAGTTTCGATAAGTACGCGGTACCCAGAATAACAGCCAATGTTTGGGTCCTATCACCCATCCACCAAATTTCAGGACAAAGGGGATCGAACTGCATTCGTCATGGGATGCTCCCTCCAGTCAACTCAGAGGTATTGCGCAGCGCGGGGATGGAGTTGGGCGAGAGGCAAAAGCGGTGATTGTTCTCAGTGTTCGATGCCGTGGATAATGGTGGGCTCGATCGTGCGATGTTCATCTGAGAACGCTGAAGGATCGGATACGGCGCACTCTTGCAATGACAGCCTCATCGCTTCATCCCACATTCGAACATCACTATCCGAAGAACCAGTGACGACACGAGGACCGTCTGGTGAGAATGAGACTGAGGCAACTGAATAAGTGTGCCCACACAAGGGCTCACCGACTGGCTTCCCCATCTCTGCATCCCACAGTCGAGCAGTACAGTCCTTCGAACCACTGATGATGCGAGTACCGTCCGGCGAGAACGAGACCGAGTTAACTAAAGAAGCGTGCCCACACAAGGGCTCACCGACTGGCTTCCCCATTGCCACATCCCACAGCCGAACAGTCCAGTCCCTTGAACCACTGACGATGCGAGTGCCGTCTGGCGAGAATGAGACCGAGGTAACTGAATCAGTGTGCCCCCGCAAGGGCTCACCGACTGGCTTTCCCACCGCCACGTCCCACAACTTAACAGTCCTATCCCTTGAACCAGTGACAGTGCGAGTACCGTCCGGGGAGAACGAGACCGAGGTGACTGAATCAGCGTGCCCCCGCAAGGGCTCAGCGACTGGCTTCCATGTTGCCACATCCCACAGCTGAACAGTACAGTCGTCCGAACCACTGATGACGCGAGTGCCGTCCGGCGAGAACGAGACCGAGTTAACTGGTCCAGTGTGCCTCTCCATGGGCTCACCGACTAGCTTCCCCTTCACTACATCCCATAGCCGTACAGTCCCATCCCTTGAACCAGTGACGATGCGAGTGCCATCCAGGCGAGAATGAGACTGAGTTAACCATACCAGTGTGCCCCTGCAAGGGCCCACCGACTGGCTTTCCCATCACTGCATCCCACAGCCAAGACAGTTTTATCCCAAGAACCAGTGACGATGTGAGCACCGTCTGGCGAGAATGAGACCGAGCTAACTGCAGAAGTGTCCCCCAAGGGCTGCACCGACTAGCTTCATCGTCACTGCATCCCATAACCGAACAGTCTTATCGTGCGAACCAGTGACGATGCTGAGTGCCGTCCGGCTGAGAACGAGACCGAGCTAACTGATCCAGTGTGCCCTGCTGAGCACTGCCTGACCAGCCGGCCAGTTCATTTCACATCCAGATGCCACACGGAGAGGTATTCGGAAATCAGTGCAAGCTTTCTCGAAAGCAGGGAGTTGGCAGGTGAGAATGGGAGTGCTGATACATACAGATGTGGTGTGCTGTATAAAATCAAGCTGCCGAAGACTTGAATGAACCTATATACCTCCATTGCAGTCAACCAGACATCTTTGAATTCAGAATGGCCCTGTGAATTGCGGGTGAGCATTTTATCTGGCACTCAGCAGCAATGTACTCACCTTTAGCCACTGGTGAATGAGCGGAAGGGCAGGAACTGCATTGCTGAGCGCATTGATCAGGGCGAGTAACTCGATCCAGAAAAGTAGCCGCTCGTGGTCGAAGAACAATTTCACTTCTTTCGCGAGCTCCCTGTCGAAGACTGTGGTTCGTACGTGCAACGTCCAAAATCGAGATGAATACGACAGATGTGGGGGGATGCATTTTTGGACTCGTTCTTGTAGCCCGGGATCTTCAGCTATTAGGTAGATACGACGACTTTAAATCACAGATATTGAAGCGAAGACTGTATTCCATCACTTCGAAGTGACGCGAATGCAAGGTCGCGTTGCACCTTTGGCAGGTCGATGAAAAACTCTCCACTGGATGCTTTGTCCGTTAAGAAATCGCGGAAGGATGCATGAAGGGGTCGGACTGGGGAATCTGTGTTAGTGGTGCCGCTGAGGAGGGAGCCCATGCTCTTTACCACAAGTTCTACGTCAAAATTGTCCTCTCAGCATTGGAAAATGGCACCTCATGGCATTCAGGGAAGCTAAAGGAAGGGGGTTCAGCTGTGCCTAGTATTTGTCCCATCACGGAGCGGAATCTTGCTAGCACCGCCGAACGCAATTTCTTGGAATGCTGCATATGAGTAGATGTATCGCTGGGCATGATATTTGTTAAAATGAGGCCATACATGCCGTGTAACAGCATGCTTCTCTCGGCAGGATCGTGTGACACCACAGCGTGGTAGCAATCCATTGGAGATAGCCCCACATGGAACTCTTTGATGTATCCGCAGGCGAGACGCGCCCACTCGAAAAGACCATCCAGCTTTCTCAGCGAGGATCGCGAACTCTCTGTCCTGGAAATCCAGCCCTCGCAACTCCTTGGATACGTAAGCATGGATGTCGCGCTCTGCGACTGCCTGTCGGGATATCATCCATCGACATCTGTCGAATATGCTGAACACCATGAAACTCGTCATTGATGTCACCAAGCGGGCGAGAGGTAACGATGAAGCGGAAGTTGTCTGGGAGGTCTGTGATTTTGGGAACAGCAGGGTTTTGATGTTTACCAGCCAGAATGCGAAGGAGGTCTCTCCGTGTCTCTAATTCCACCGCTCTCGTCCAGTGCATCGATCATAATCACGATAGGTCCCACAGTTGATCCAGATGACTTCCCCAGTGGTTCAATAAGAAGCTTCTGCCACTGCTGGGTAATATCCGCTGTATTCTCGAGCCAATTCACTGTCTGAACTGCATCTACTAATGCCCGCCACATCCCCGGATCACGGTCAGCCAGGTCGCGCGCGATCGTGGAAAAGATCTTTTCATGGCGACGATCTGCTTCTCGCTGGCTGTCAAAAGAGTAGAACGAACCAAGCCCTCCAACATCGCTGAACCACTTAGCAATGGTGTGGGCGATGGCCGATTTCCCCTTGCCTGCAGCGTCAGATAACCACAGTACACGTGGAACATTGTTCCCAGTGCTGTTGACCCATTCCGTAATCTGGGAAAGGATTTCCGTGCGCGTCCCTTGGAGGCATTGTTTTCTTGTATCTAATCCTGCGCCTGCAGCATAAGTCATACCGCTGAGGTCCAATATTTCACCTGAAAAGGTTTAAATATATGTCAAGTCACAAGCATGTCCGAACCCTTACCCGTACGGTGGATGTGTATGGCTACGTCGCGAGCAACTTGGTCCCGGAAGTTTTGCATGAGTATATCCAACACGTTACTGTACTGTTGGATTGTATCTTTCGTTTCTGAGACGACGTTCTTTCCGAGTCTCTTCCCTGTGATAACGGTAGAAACTTGAGACAGTGCAAAGCGCAACAGCCTATTAAAACTCACAGAAGTTCTTAGTCTCCGAATAATTTTTGATAAATTGAACACATTCAAGAATCTGCTGAGAGATCTGTCCAAGGATAATGCGCATCGACGAGATTTTGCCCAGCATCTGATCTTGTGTCATAAAGCCGTAAACTTGACACAACTTCTTGAGAAGTTGGAACACCGCTGCGTCGCGATCCACTTGGGCTAGAATAATCTACACAAATGAGTGATGAGTAGCGGGAGATAGGAATAAAGAGAAAGAAGGCATACTTTAGCTGCACAAGACAACATGCCCAGTGCCATCTTTGCGTATGGATGTACCTGTGGAACGGGATTAGTTCGGTTCTGATCGAGAACAGGGCCCATACATCCGCGATGTCTCCGATAACAGCATCAAATATTCTGAGGGGGTTGGAGATATGTGTCCTGCGACTTGTCCGCAGTACTGAGAGCTTCTTGTGCATCCTGGCCAGCAGGGACCATAGTTCTCAAAAATCCTAAAAATGAAAACATGTGTTTTGTAGCCTTTTGTGCATCTCGAGGTGCCGATTGGGTATCAGCCTCCACTTCTACACCAGATAGAGCAGCTTGAACCTGGGCGACCACCAAAATTTAGAGAGAGCACAGAGACTGAAGGGCGAGTTTGAGAACCCACCTCAATGATATTCGAGGTTGATGGAGCACGTTGATGATACGCATTTGGGGGTATAGGGCTGCGACTACGGGAATCCTTCGAGCGCTTATGCCAATTATCTTAGTCGTATCCTAGGATACTCATTACGCATGCTTGTGGACTCACCAAGATCTTTAGTTTATTCGCGCCGTCCTTAACCTTCTCCACAAACCGACCGAGTCCGCCACGGGGTCGGTGCTAGACGAAGGATACGTCAATGGAGTGAACTAAGTGACCATCATGAGCTACGTACCGAGCTTTCGCGAGCTGTTGCCTCGCTAGATGTGCCAGTGTGGGTTTCTTGAGTCGAATCCCTCGACGAATTACTGTAGAGATACGCACCTAAGTTCGTCACACCGTCACACGCCTAGCGAATCGAACCTATTTTGTGTGACCGTCACACCAATTTTGAGGCCGTCGAACCTAAACTGTGACATATGGTAAAAACATGAAAAAAAGGTCTAGTGCAGCCAAAAATCCTTGTACTGAGTGTTTGCAACGCGTCTGCGCTTTCCACGGCCCCCAGCCTCAACCTCCTTAGACCCATTCACTGTAGATTCAAGCTCCGTGTCATCCACTGGCAGTACCACTTGCTCATAGCTCTCCGACTTGTTGTCTACCAGCAGATTACCTGATTCATCAGCGCTATAGCCATGAGGGACAGTTGATTCACCCAATGCAATATGCTGCAGAACAACATCCATGGAAACATTGCTCAGGCATGCCGAGGATCCACACTGACAAGACTTTACAACAACATACAGGGAAGCTGTTGTGTTGCCAGACAGACAGACAGACATAAAGTTAGAAACGAAGCTTGTAAAGTGAGCATTTCCTGGTCGAGCGTAAGGATCAGCATGCTTATACTTACAAAGGAATGTTTGCCTAACGGTCGTCGAACCTAAGCGCAGCCTGTCACACGTCACACCTCAATAGGGCCGAACCTAAGTGCGTATCTCTACAGTATACCAGCTCCCTTCACATCACGGCCAGTCCCTACACACTATCAGTCGCTATCCGCATACTATTATTCGTAGGGTCCCCAATAAAAAGGCAATCGTTCCGCATGGTCACAAGTCGGCACCGACCCCTAGTGTTTATTGATGTTTGATTGTTGTGTCGCCCTTTTCTGTCTCCTATTTCTCCTTCGCCCTCAGACGAACGTAGCCTCGGAGTTGTATGCAGTTAGTGTTCATCATCGTGTCAGCGCAAGAAATGTTGTGGCTGGGTCAAGGGTTTCTATGCACACAGAACTTTGGACTTGGACAAAAAATTGTTTACTAGGACAATGGAATGATTGTGACAAAGTTAGATATAGTCTTGGCACTTTTGCCACTGCCAGATCTGAAAAACACCCAACTTCTCGCTCAAGTCGCTCAAGCTCCCAAGATGGGTTAGGACCTCCACGTGTGCACTCTGAAGCATCCGACTGGTTGGAGATGAAGTAAAGTCGCAGAGATCTACAAAGTTCGTGTTATTGTGTTTTCTTATCTTTGCTTAAAGTTCCAACATTTTCTGCTTGACAAACTTTACTTCTGTAGCGAAAATCTCAACTGTTCACGTACGACGTCAAGCGACTCGGTTAAATCAAAGTCCACTCGACGAGCGGTTTCAAGTTTTAGATTGACACCTTCCCCTCTCCTCAGCATCTAATTTCCGTGATTCGTTATCCTAGACCTCGAGACCGCCGCATGGCCCCATATCTGACTTTACTGCAAGCTTCTTCGAATCTGTGAAGGGTCGAAGCGCGCTCACCTAACTAGCCGTGTCCCCGAACGGACCAGCCACAAGTTTGCCAGTATCCAGGTTCCATATCCGCGCTGTTCTATCACCTGATCCACTCGCCAGCAACTTGCTGTCTGAAGAGATATCAATGCATGTGACTCACTGTAAGTGGCCTTCGAATGTTTTCATAATCCCCGTGTCAACCTCACAAGCTTTCAGCTCCCCGTGATCACCAGCCCGCTTTCAGATCCCATTGCCGAGCGGTCTTATCAGACCCGCCGATCATTCGCTGGCCATCTGGAAAATAGGATACGGATGAAATAAAATCTTCGTGACCATTTAATGGTGTCAGAATCAATTTCGTGGCGGCTAGCTTCGATGCAGAAGCCATGGCTGTGTCTCCGCGAGTAAAACAGTGAAGTAGTCGAGTACGAGCAAGGTAATCTTTGGATGTGTCAAAAGGTACAAAGGTGAGGTCTCCTGGTGTTAGTGTGCTGTATGACTGACATTAGAAACGATTCGAAGATAGGCCCTGCGATAAAGCCAAAAATCAGTTTATCTGCGCTGGAAGTCCAAATGAATTTTGGTGTTACCGAGAGGTTAGCGCTTTAGCAGGGAAGAACTTGAGGAGTTGAAGGCCTGAATGTGAGTGGTCTTAGGTGCCGCCTGCATATAAATACCCTCACGGCAGCTGTTCATTGTGCCCTGAATCCTTCCATCCCGTTTACTTCCAGTCTCTTCTCAGCTCACAGCCATGGCTAAAGTCACTGCCATCGATATTGCTTACACCCCACCTCAATAGCATGATCACAGCCTCAAATGCTCCCGTTTGATGGCCATTCATTCATAGGGACTTTATCACTAGCTGTGCTATAGGTTCGTGAAGGGTTAGTCGGATGATGATGGCGAAGCCCGCGTTGGAGTGCTCCCTTACTATGTATGGAGTACATACGGGACTGAATTACTTACGCAGACAGCGCTCACACAGTCATTTGAGCTTTTAAATGTACTGCTAGAAACAACGGCAGGAAAAGTCTACGAACCCAATGCACTACGTAACAATACCCAGCATGTAACTTGTTCACCCTGATAAACATGAAGACACAGAATAGAAAGAACAGCTGCCGACATCGTCTCAGCTTGCAAGTGCGGGTGGGCACTTGGTGATGCGACCAGAAAACGCTTCAAGATGTCCGAACAACGCTATTACATAAATAATTCGGGACACGAAATAAATAGTCAATACGACGGAAAATTCGCCGAGACTTTTGCAGTTACCTTGCAATCCGACACTCCGTCACGGTAACATCAAAAAACAAAAATAAGTACTTGAATCAAGAAGAAAAAATTCCTGGTCCCGCAGAACACCAGACAACCGTTAACCTCACCATGTATCTCCCGTGCTATATATCATTGTCAGTCGACATATGCACATGCTCCTGGAAAGCGATTGAGGCCATGCCAGTTGCTATGGCGGAGTCGCCATGAGCTTAGCGTGATATTCTCGAATGCGAAGGATCAGGCGTGGTCCCAGCACAAACATCTGCGTGACCGTCAAAATCCCAGAAACAATTTCAATTTTTGTAGAAGATTCAAGAGACTGCAGGTTGGGAGTGGTGGATAGTAGCAGACGCGCGATGGCAAGGTGCTTAATCCTTATACACAAGCTAGCGGCTGGCTTGGAAAAGCGAAGCCCAAGCCAGAGCGTCCAGCAGAGCGTCGCGAGGCAGACCATGTCCTTAGCATCTGCTGCAGTCACTCGTCTCCTAGGATAGAGGTCTGGTAGCTAGGGCGAGAGAGACACTAGGATGGCGGGGATGGCAGCAATTTCGAACCTGCGAAAGTTCTCATCGGGGGGCTACCGCTACCCCAACCGCGCCGACCTTCTCGTTCTGTGTAGGAATAATACTACTGAGCACAGTGGGAGTACAGGTTCTGAGGCACGACTGCAACCGCGAAACGACGAACCGGCCGGCTGCTCAACAGTAACCGTGACCCACCGGGAGTTTACGGTTGGGGGAGGGCTAGTGGGGGGATAGGAAGCTTCAGATCCCAGGTTGGTGGCCTTCAGCACACTCGAACCCTATACCCACTTACCAAGGTACCCGAAACGGCCGTTTCCGAACCGAACAGGAATTGGCGTCTCCGTGCAGAGACGATGCTAGAAGAAAATTCCTTAATGAGCGCGGTGCTGGATATCTTGAACTCTGCCTAACATGAGGTAATGCACGTATCTGGTTTTCTCGACATTTGGGAGCCGAAATACTTCGAAACGATAACAGGGCACCTAAGACTCGTATGGTATGGTCCGACTGATAACAGGGTACCAGTGAGCGAATAAAGTCCGGACACCCTCGTCATTCACAACGAAAAGACCCTCAGGCTATAATGTCATTTTAATGCACAAGAACAGGTTAAGTAGGGGAGATTTCCGATGCAGGCTATACCGTACATTACTTGCCAACCTACATCTGCAAAACCACTGAAATGAACGCTTACGACTTTACTGGTAGCGCACTGGGCTCTAGTGTTGTGGGCAGAAGTCTGCCATACTGCCAGCCGGTTTGGTAGAACCGGTTCTACTTGGCAGATGGCAGAACTCCGCTGGCAGAATCCAGCCGAATGTCAAACTACAGGGGATCACAGCGAAAGATGTTCTAATAACTTTCTTCACCAACAATTCCTTACTTGTAGAGTAGAATCCTTTGAAGGCACTTGCAATCACCCTCTCATCTATTATTGTTCCCCATGCTGCCCACGTTGGAGTAGGGGCAGAGTAGCAGCCAGGTAGCACTGTAGCTTAGTCAGCCACTCGGTGTCCTTCGGGCTTTGTTGTAGCATCGCTGCATACTACTCAGCATAATGTCCCTTCACCACTTCTTGCCTTGCTCGTGACATGCAGGCACACAGTCATGGATACACCTCTCCAATATTAATGTCGAACGCCTCTTCTCAGATATCTCTAGCACTTGGTCTCTGCAGCACTGCAATCTCACAATAGACACGATTCAAAAGCACCAGCAAAGATTTGAGTAAATTTTCATTACCATAGTCACTCAGAAGGCCACGGCTAATGGCAGGCCAATTCATTGACATCATGCGCACATGCACACCAGCGCCCAGCCGGGCATCAACATTGATGTAGCTGCTGGATGATGGAAACGATCCTCGCACAACGACCGTCGGATAGTGGGATGTGGACATGCTGATGAGTCTTCTAATGGTGTTTCCTGGTGATGTACTGTCGTTCGCACAGCCCTGTAGCGCTTTGATAGTTTTGCCAAGTGGCAGAAGTGGCGGTTCTGCCAATTCTGCCAGTTGTGCCGGCACAATTGCCTGCAAATAGTTCTGCCCCCAGTACTAGCACCAGCCTGGCTCCAAGTTTATCGAGGTCTTGTTGTTACGGTCTTGCGTTATCCTGCACGTAATACCTTGTTCTCGTCGAAACCGAAGTCAAGCCGAAGGGAAGACTCGGACCTTACTCGCGCGCGACGAGTTCATGGTACCCTGTTTTTGTTCGGATTTTTCTCGGTTCCTTCGAATGACTTCAAACCTGCCACCCTATGACTTGTATGGTATGGTCTGGCTGACAACAGGGTACCATGAACTCCACCGATGCACCATATAAAAAGGCAGGTTAATAACAGCACCTTTCATATTCCCAGCCGCAGTCAATATCACTGTTGAAGCCTTGGACATTGGTTGTCAAAGCATGTACTACAAGTCACTCTTCCCTGACCTGCCAAAGGTCCCAGAATCTAATGTTCACCACCTGCTCTTCAACCGGCCTGACCAGCGGGAGTGGCCAGATTACACATTATTCGTGAATGTGGCTACTGGCCAGCGGCGTTCATTCAGGGAGTTTGTCGAGCGTGTCCGCGATGGTGCTACTGCGTTAGGTGCTGATGTGACACAAGGTGGCCTAGGTCTTCGTCCAGAGGATGGAGAACTTGTAGGCATACTGAGTGAGAACTGCCCAGTACGTTGCATCCCATTGTTCAGTCGAGATTGAATTAACAAGGTAATTTTCCAGGACTATGTAGCCCTGCTGCATTCCCTACTGGCTATCACTGTCCCGTTTGCGCTGTTCTCATTCTATTCAACACCGTGCGAGTTCAAATACGCTAATTCGCTCGTACAGGCGACTAGGATCTTTGCTAGTCCCTCGCTACTACAACTCGCTTTGACTTCAGGTCTCCCAGCAGATCGGATTTACCTCCTAGAAGGAGAGAATACTGGCTATACAAGTTTCGAACAATTCATCTCCTCTGCCCGAAGGAATGGTGTTCCACGTCTGCCAGTTCGTCATGCTACCAAGGACACTCTAGCCTACCTGATGTATTCCAGTGGAACAAGCGGTCCTCCCAAAGGTACGTGTCTCTTTTTGCCACTGGTCTCGTTTCTGAAGCTCAGAAATATCGTCTGATTATGTTGTACAGCGGTCATGGTGTCCCACGGAAATATCACTGCCGTCACCCTCTCAACAATGGTAAACGGTAAGGAAATGGCTAAAACTCAGGCTGTAGGTCTTCCAAGCTTACTTTCTTGGTCTCTCTGACTCTTCTCCTCTGCTAGCCAGTATGGAACACCCCTGATGGGCTAGAAGTGTCCTTCAATGTCCTTCCGCTCTTTCACACTATCGGCCTTACCACGACTGGCTTCTTCAGCTTCGTCAAGCGTTCCACGATTGTTATGCTACCGAAGTGGGACATCGATATATTCTTTGACAGCATCCCGAAGTAAGTGAATACCAAGAGAATTTAGCGTGTCCTGTAGTACTTCTGGTACTCATCTTTAGCCGCAATGTAGATACCACATCACGACCACATACCTCCGCGCCTCCTTTCTACACCAGCTCGTTCACCACCCACGCTTCAAAACTGCTGATATGAAGTCGGTTAAGACAATCGGAAGCGGCGGAGCGTACCTCCCTCCCCAGCTCGCAGACCAAGTTTGCGCCCGTTTCACAGACATGCCAAGAGTTACTGAACGTGCGTCCACGTATCGTGTGTAAACCCCCTGGTACTACTGTTAATCTTTACAGGTTATGGCATGACCGAATTGGTAAGTGATCTCCCAATCTGCTCCTTCCAGCTCACTGACGTCACTGTCTGAGATAGACAACATCCATCGCCATGACGCCCATCCCCGGCATGCTCAATGGACGTGCCAAATACAAGCCTGGCTCTGCCGGAATTCTCCTCCCCGGTGTCGAAGCCCGCGTTGTCCGTCCTGACGGGTCCCTAGCGGGTCCGAACGAGGCGGGCGAGCTTCTCGTTCGCGGAGGTTCTGTGGCGCTGGGATACAAAGGAAACGACAAGGCCACTCGGGAAACGTTTGTTGATGGATGGGTGCGCACGGGCGACCAGATACGGATCGATGAGGACGAGGTGCTTTTGTAAGTTGATTCGACGAGTACGATATGTCCACTCATTATCGTCGAACTGTTCTGTTTGCAGTTTTGAAGACCGCATCAAGGCAAGCTGCACCATCCATAAACATACTTCGTTCCGTATTGTACTGACTCCCGTCCTTATAGGACACACTCAAAATCTCAGGCATGCAAGTTTCTTCCCGTCGAAATTGAGGACACGATCCTGGCACAGCCCGACAAGCTCATTACTGATGTGAGCGTCGCGGGCGTTTCGGGTGGGTGGACCTCAGACGAACGCATACCGCGCGCATGGATCGTATTATCTGCAGCGGGCGCAGCGTTGGGTGAGAAAGAGGTTGTGACACGGCTCGATGCGTGGGTGCAGCAGCGCCTGAGTTGGTTTAAGTGGTTGACAGGAGGCATTGAGATTTTAGAGGTGGTAGGTTTTTCCCGTTTTATTATGGAATGAGTTGATCAAGGTCTTGGGTAGATTCCAAAGTCGCCAACTGGGAAGGCGTTGAGACGGGTGTTGGTTGAGGGGTATGAAAAAGATGTGAAACTGCTTGCGAAATTGCATTAGGAAAGTGTGAGATTCCTGCAGGCAGCTATGTCCCATGTACGCGTCTTTAGATCACGCACTCATTCTATGAAAAATTGTTGTCGATGAACACCAGCAGCGTCTTATACAGATTTCTTATCAAGTTGGGACAACAACTCATCTTGTCTACTGTGTTGCCACCAAGTTCCGATGTGCTGTTCGCTCTCTTTTACCTCGCTGATCGGAATATAATGCAACAAGGACGCGCAAGATTGGGCAGGACTTGTGCAAGTCTTATGAGAACTGATGAATCGTTAGACCCTCATTCCATCGTGCCGGAACCTCTCATCTTAGCTCCTACTCTTTGCATTGCCTCAATTCAACTCTCCGATCGCTCACTCTTGCCCGGTACTTTTTTTCCTCCAGGTGTTTTTTTCACGCCTCACAGTTCACAATGCATCATCACTACACGCATCTGTTTCATGATGCTCTCGTTCTCACCATCTTCGTTATAAATCTCGCAAATTGCAACTACATGTTAAATTGTAGTGTGCGCAATAGACTATGATCCACATATTTCGTCCCACCTTGTCACTTCTCTCATTTTTGCCTCACTGAATGTGCTAAGTGAAACAGGAACTTGAATGACCACAGGATGACCGCAATAGCAATATCCATCTGTTCAGCTTCTCAATTCGCTATGACGAAGTACCAATGTATATGCTTCAACATAATTCACTTCACCTCATGGCGCATGCGCAGTGATATCTCTGGCAGAATCAACATCCCTGTCCATCGTTACGTGCTCTCACAAATCGACACAAACATCATGAGTGCGTCGACTCAAGTCATTTACTTGGACAACCCTAAAGTTAGACTAGACGCTGGGTATAGAATAGAATATCAAGTATGATCCACTGCACACTCGGTCACATCTAAATTGTATCTGAAATCTCCATGATGGGTCCATTGCTGCGGTTAATGTCAGTACTAAGGTCTGCAAGTGTTAGTTTTAGTAAGCGCGAGGAAGAGAAAGGGTTTTGAAAAGACTCACTCGTCTCGGCACTTTTTCCAGTGTTGTCCATGTGTCATGAGGCTCAAATCAAGCTCAGGACCTCCTCTGGGTATCACTAATGCAGTTGCGGGGCTATAAAACGGGTATCGAGAAGCAGGCGGTACCCAGAATAACAGCCGATGTTTGGGTCCTATCACCCATCCGCTGCCACCATCCAGGACAAAGGGAGTCGAACTGCGGTCGTCGTGGAATGCTCCCTCTGTTAACTCAGAAGTGTTGCGCAGCGCATGGATGGAGTTGGGCGAGAAGCAAATGAGGTGATTGTTCCAAGTGTTCGATATCATGATAGTAGGTGGTGGCCGCGATCGGGGGATGCTCATCTGAAAATGCTGGATGACATGACTTAGCGCATTGTTACGACGGCTGCCTCAACAGCCGAACAGTATTGTCCTTTGAACCAGCGACGATGCGAGTGCCGTCCGGCGAGAACAAAACCGAGTGAACTGAATCAATGTGCCCCCGTAAGGGCTCACCGACTGGCTTCCCCGTTGCTCCATCCCACAGCCAAACAGTCTGATCCCAAGAACCAGTGACGATGCGAGTGCCATCCTGCGAGAACGAGACCGAGGTAACTGAAGATGTGTGCCCGATGAGCACGGTCTGAACAAGCCGGCCAGTTCATATCACGTCCAGATGCCACGCGGACAGTATTCGGAAATCATGCAGAAAGATTTCTCGATAGCGGAGAGTCGGCAGGCGAAAATGGGAGTGCTGATAATTAGTTGTATTCCAGGACACTCGTTACGCACCGTGCTCGTTGACTCACCGAGATCCTCAAGTTCACGTTTTCCTTGAACTTCCCCAGAAACCGACGGACTTTGCCGAGGGGTCGGTGCTAGACGAAGGATTGCAGCACGTTGATGTCAATGTAAGTGTTTAGAGTGGAGTGAATTAAGAGTGTGTAGTGCCCCGAAGTAGATCGGCTCCCAATTGGGTGGGAAACACAAGTTCCTGAACGCATCAAATACATCAGTGGCAAAGACCTAGGCCTCAAGGCCTCAACGTTGCACCGCTCGGTAAGCATGTTTCCTGGTCATTCTTAAGTCGAAGTTCACCGCCCTCGCGCATACCTATTCTGCGCTGTCCTGCTATGTTCGCGCCACTCCCTTAAACGCCCATTGCCGAGCTACCCGACCAGTACTTGATGTCGATATCCCTGACTTCGACTCCCACAGCGCTGCCAGCTCTGATACCGGCAACAGAGACTGCCACTTCTCCGAATTCTGCTCCCAGCCCCTCCTTCCCTATACACGAATTTGGCTTCCCATCCTCATGTCCGCCCTCTCCCATACAGAACTTGGGTGTGTAGTGTAGCCTCTCCTTGACGGTATTTTGTTCTTTACGTATCATGAAATTTTAATTTAAAATTTTCATGTCTTTGCTTTACTGAGTAAGGACAGATGAGGATACAATATATAAATTATGATTACGAAAATTTGACAGAGATATGTATGTAGACACTGGGAAGTATGCACGAGGTGGCAAGATAGATGAGGAGGAAAAAATCCAGGATGCAGTGGAGATAACTGAAGAAAAAAATACGAAGGCGCCTGCCGCCAGGTAGGGGTAATAACTGGTGGGGAGAGACAACGAGGGAGATGTCGACGACGAGCGCGAAGGAGAGCGCTAGATCTCGTGATGCGCTGTTGCGAAAAAAATAACCGGCGGCGACGGCATAGCTAGGCTGCAGGTTGAAGGAGCAGGCGCGGAATTGGCAAGATGCAGAGAGGTGGCGGCATTCATGGGCACAAGGGTTGGAAAAAAGGCAGAGGATGCTGTTTGCAAAGACTGCGAGCTCGACGAGTAGGACAATGAAAAAAAAGATTCGTACCTTTATCCAACGCAGTTTGTGGGGTCCAACCTTTACTAAATAACGTCAGTTGAATGGTAACATGGTTTCTAATTATGTAAAACATAGAGAGCCGATCTATTTCGGAAACATCACTCTTCGAACCCTGAGCGCAAAAAGTTCAGACACCCTCACGTCATTCACAATGAAAAGACCCCAGACGTGTTCATGCTACCCGGTCATCATTCGGATCTTTCTCGGTTCCTTCGAACGACTTCAAACCTAAAGCGAAAAAAAAAACCTGCAGACTCTGCTCAACATAATATTCGCTACAGCTTGATGACTACTGAAGCACTGTCATCTAGAACCCTATGGGACATTGTCTCTACCTGCATGCTGACTCTCCTTGCATGCGTATATAGTTCCGTTCACCCCAATGTCCCGAGTCCTACAGACACGCTCGTTCATATTTTATTGCGACGGTTTGGCATCATGGGATTTGCACTACTCTCTCCTGAAACGGCTGTTGCATGGGCTTTGCGCCAGTGGCTCTGGTCTCGTCATGTTACAGCACAGTTTAAGGACCACTTCAGTGTTCGTCGTCCTCAAGAGCGGTATGAAGGTGATTCCTGCTCTTGAGCGCATCCCTACGTCATTCCTTATGCTTCTTATTAAGAACATGATAACAACCGGGCTCTCGCCCACCATGCTGAAGGTGAACCATCCGGACCAATGTTTATTCGGCAGTTCCATACTCTTGCGGAGCCATTCAAGGAGTGGCTTAAGGTACATTATTCAGAGCAACCCGAAGGTGAGATTGACTCGACCTCTCTCAAACCATATCTGAAACTTCGCTCATGTGCATCCGTAGATTACACATGGACTCAGACTCACAGCTTCTTTGCGCTGATGGGCGGTTTTATGCTTTATGTGGATGGGGAACCCTACCAGACACTATCGCCTGACAACCTTCTCTTTCTGATACGTACCGGCTCTATCGATGCCCCTGCCCTGACAGTAAGGCAGATCTACGACCGGAGCAAAGGGAATGCGATATCAAAAGGATTGGTCATTTTTCAGGGGGCTTGGTTTATCATGCAACTCCTTTCCCGCGTCATTTATCACCTCGACATCACACATATTGAAATGGCGATACTCGCTTTTGTCGTTCTCAATTTCTTTTCTTATGCTCTGTGGTGGAATAAGCCTCTCGATGTACAATGTCCTCATCCAATTTACTGGAAGTCGACCAAGTCCACCTCAGAGATAAGCTTTCCTAGGCACGTTTGCGCCTTCATCATTTTTACCGCTGCTGATGATGTCCCTCATAGCGTCTCAGAAGATGATGATCTCCCTGTGTCTTCGGAGATCGTTGTTCTGTATATCATTGACTCATATTTGCAGATCGGTGGTGTTGATGCCATGTCCCCTCGAAAGCTGCGAGCTCCAACGTTCGATAACATCCGTGGCATCAAACTAAAACCCTGGGAAAGTAATGTTCTTACGTCCGTTGGATTCACAATGACAATCATCTTTGGCGGCATCCACTGTACTGCTTGGTTGTATACTTTTCCCTCATATCAAGAACAGGTCTTATGGTTCACGAGTGCCATCATTACAACGTGCACGCCCTGCATTAGTTTCGTGGTGGCCTTTGTTCTGCTTAGATCGAGAATTGAACGAAGGGGCTCTGAGTCGCTCAAGTTTACAATGTTTCTCAGGACATGTCTTGTATTTTACTCCACAGCACGTGGCCTCCTGCTCATACTTATGTTCACCACTTTACGCAATCTTCCTTCTAGCGCATACAAGGTGGTGTCTTGGACTAGTTTGGTGCCGCATTTGTAGTTCTTGCTTATAAATATTCAAAATTCAATATTTTGATCTTATAGTAAACATTGGCGGCTGGTGGCCTGCTAGCGGTCCGCCTACTTTTGTGAGTCCATGTACATGCCACGGCGCACGCGGCTCAAATCATCTTCAGAGCGAGTGACAAGACTATTTGCATAATTTCTAGATCTCGATTGCAAGATGATGCTCCCATCCAAACACTACGCCTCCTCACAGCAAATGAAACTAGACAAGATGCTATCATCTTTGCTCACGAGTATCAACGGCTAGGCTCCACCCTCCAGACTCCCCAGCAGCACCGTCGCCCATTTCACTGGTAAGTTCCTGTCGAGCCTGAAGTAACAGACCCAATTGCCTTGTACATATAACCTCGTGCGCTCCATCCCACCTCAGATGCTGCTATATAGATCATACACCTCACTGCGGCCCTTTTGTCCTTGAACCTTTGAAGTCCGGAGTCCTTTGCCTCATCCCGCATCCACCATCGCTTTGGTTGTTACACCTCCTTCTGTGACCCAACATGTCCGAGTCTTGCTGCATCCCCACAATGACGATGATCCTCTTGATGGGTAGCACTATGACCGAAGATACCCAGTGAGTGTTTCCCTCGTACTTACAATTCAAAGTTGATTCCAAATCACAAGACGCATCCCAAACGTGTGTGCTTCCGCACAGATACGACCATCCACAACGATCAGCTGGCCGTACATAATAAACCGGCGTGTACACCACGAGTGATGGCAAGTTGACCTGCGATATCGTGTGAGAAATGTGCGATGTAACAGCTCAACTCGCCAGTACCAGAAGTTAGAACGGCAACTCAGATCTCAAATACGCGCGTGGAGATGTCTTGAAGCTGCACAAAACCGTTGTGGCACTTGCATTTTCGATGCCAGCGGACACATGAACAATAATTTTTGACATTGTTGGATGGAAATTCGTTCCACCTCAACCAATCTCGAGTACACACACATCCAATCATGTCGCACTTCCCCCAGAGACACACGAAAAGCCTTGAATTCTGTATGATCACCCACGGCGTTCAAACCCATTGATGTCTACTTACCAGCTTCAGAAACACGACCATCACTCTTTCGATTAGCACCCTTTCTCTGATCTCTTCACCACTGCAAACGGTCATCTATGGATCAGATTAGCGTGATTTACAGCGTGCTCCTTGTATCCTCTATCATTATGAGACGCGTCGATGTAGTTATCGCTCCCCCACAAGGTATATAGCCTCCTCGTCACAGGAAGAGGTTGGGACGTAGTTGTCCTAGTTGGTGCGTACTCATGTCGATCCTCTTCTTGCCTCCGAATCTTATGGTACTGACCAACGTGTCTTTCCTGCAGAGCAAGCTTACAATTTCATGCATGAATATACGTCTGATGCCAGTCTGTCTTTGACATTTCCATCGTGAACGCGAGGGCAGGATCGACGGGTATCTCACTGCCGGCACCAAGCAAAATATTGAGGAATACCACACCGCTGTATTAGACAAGCGATTAATATATTGTAGATCTTGATATTAGAGGTACACGTGCTTTTTCTGCGACGTTGTGTCATCGAATACAACCGATGAAGCGCTACACGGAGGATCAGATCCAAGAAATATAACAAAGACGGATATTCATTGGACTAGCGTGAGCTCGGTGACTATACGACGATACAAGTATCATACAACATGTTGATAACATACACATGGTTACAGTCAATGGGATAATGCATCGGAAGAGCGAAGATATCGAAACTTAAATACCCGGTGAATGTCAGTGAAGCCACTCTAGAGGTAGAGTTGTGCAACCGTGTAGAAGTTTGGGTAAAAGGAATCAAATGACAATGAGCTAAGTGTGACCGTGGGCACCATCATGGCTGCTATTTGCTGCACCATCCTGGCGAGGTATGTCAACGCGCTCCAAGCGCCATCGAGGAGGTACCCTCAATCTGCCATGTGACCAACACGAATAATAGCAGAGGAACGCATTGCACCAATGCACATCTGGGAGCGAATCGATGTCAGATAAGTCGTCTTCATGGGGTACGGTAGCCTGCTGGCGAGACGGATATCGGGTATCGTCTACTTTCTTGTATTCCGGTAGTTTGGCAGCAGCAAGTCGCTGTAGAACACAGATCAGCAAAAAGGCAGTGAGAAGTAAAGAATTAAATTACACGGAATTTCCGCCCAGGTGCGACTTCAACGACTGGTGGCCCGATCCTATGTCTTGGCGCGAGAAAAGAAAGATGCTGGCGTAGGAATTGCGTGACTCCGTTCAGGGGGAGAGGCGGAGAACTTATTTCGAACTGGATTCGCACATAATTATGTATTGTGAGTTTGATAATATGGAGACTAACATGATCAAGCTGAGGTGCGGCCTGCCACGAGAGCGAGGACACCGGTAGGGGCAATGTAGCAGGGACCTGGAACGCCATCGTCGAGTCAATTGCAAAAGAAACAAGAGAAGAAACATACATCTAAGGGATCACGAGGTTGGTCCTTCCAACCAGGCCGTAATACCCAGCATATATCTTGCTCACCCTGATAAACATGAAGATACAAAATAGAAGGAACAGCTGCCGACATCGTCTCAGCTTGCAAGTGCGGGTGGGCACTTGGTGATGCAACCAGAAAATGGTTTAAAATGTCCGAACAACGCCAATAATTTGGGATACGAAATAAACAGTCAATACGACGGAAAATTTGCCAAGACTTTTGCAGTCTCCTTGCAGTCCGACACTCCGTAACATCAAAAAACAAAATAAGTACCTGAATCAAGAAGAAAAAAAAATTGCTCCCCGCAGAACAACAGACAACCGTTAACTTCACCATATATCTCCCATGTTATATATCATTTCCAGTCGATATATGTACGCGCTCCTGGAAAGCGATTGAGGCCATGCCAGTTGCTACGTTGGAGTCGCCATGAGCTTAGCGTGATATTCTCGAATGCCAAGGATAGGGCGCTAGTCCCAGCATAAACATCTGCGTGACCGTCAAAATCCCCCCCCCCAAAAAAAAACTAGAAACCCAGAAACAGTCTCAATTTATGTAGAAGATTGGTCCTATAGAAATGATGAATCGTGACCGAGCGTAGGGTCATCTGAAACTAGGGTCATACTGTTAGAGGACTTGGATGGATGTGAGGGAGTGGCGCACCTGAGATGTGACGATGACATTCATGCTAGATAACACAAGTCAGTGCTCGCATCACCGAAATGAGATCGAAGGGTGATATCCATTACTACAAGTTGGTTGACTGAAGTATTTTTGCATGAATGTGAAGTCCATCCGGGGGCTCAAAATAGTGTTGATCATGGACGATGGTGACAGGCATCAAGTTTCATCAGAGACATCCAGTCTATATCCTAGGGCTCTCACAGCCGTTTGCAAAACTATTAATAAGGGCTGAAGGCGGCATCACACTGTTGGCACGCCATGAGAAAAGTCAAAGATTCAAACAAGTTGAGGTAATGACTCACCCGTGTCATACAGTTATCAATGCACACCTCGACACCTAATCCGATGTAAAATTTGGTCTAACAAATGCCTAGGTGTGATGTGATGTGACTTTCGGAAAAGCTTGCCATCAAATGAGTGGCATTATCCGCCCACCGGCCCAAGCGCAATAGCTCCTCCGAGGACATTCAACTTGAATGGGCTGAGATCATGTCGGGATGACACAAATGTTGGATGTACAGAAAGATAGCTCACCTGTGCAACCAGAGGACCCTTCAAGCACACTTCCCAACGCCTGATATTCCTGTTCCTCCTTGTCCTGGGCAAATGTCGCCTCACGCAAACTTTCTCACCCTCCACCTCTGACATCGCCCTATCATATCATAAGGACACTGATAGTAAGCGTTAACGCGGAATCTGATACAAGGCGCACCACACTCAATTTGCATCATGCAGTTCATATGATATGGATGCACAAATCGTCACAGCCTGATCCATGATTGATGTATGGTGCATAACACTATCCCTGGATTACAACCGAAAATAAGAGGGCGCTGGGGAAAGACTCAGGCGTTACCATTGCAACCACAGGAAGTCTTCGAATCACACAGGGCTCGTGGATAGCCCATGAAACATTGTTGATTCTATTCTTGAAAAGCGTCGGCTGGCCGAGCGTCTGCCACGCCATCAGAGAAGTCAGAAATGAAAAGGTAAACGCCACAATGTGGTAGTAGTAAACACACCTCCGGGCCGCCAATGCACATTCCTCGATGTACCACATTCGACGCTCAGCGTTCAATACCCGCTTTCCCCATCCCACCCAAATCCTCGCTGCAGTTATTGGTCGCCTCACGCACAGTTGCCTGTTCACAACACACCTTCTGCCTCGGACATTGGACTGTAATATCACGGGAATGAGAACAATGTAGGAAGGGTAGTGCCGCTCTAGACCGCACAGGCGATCTGATGAACATCCTAGCGGTGCGTGAAATCGAGATCCTTAGTGTCCGGTCCGTGTCAAAGGCGAGTGCGCGTTATTTGTGGGTGCCGGGTATCTGCCAGTGCAGAGCGTTCAGCAATGTCATTTGGTCTCAGCTGGGCCGTGAACTGAGTTTAAGAATTGAATATTGAGCAGCCCTACTAGTAACTCATCAAAGATGCTGCGGTGCATGTGGGAATTTTAGCTGGCTCACCATGTGAGCATCATTAAGATTTGATTACTCATTTCCGGCTATCATACACGGTGCGTGACTTGGAACATCGATCTTGTACAAGCATGACTTAATTCGATTTGAAGCACGCACGTAGGAATTTGTATCACTCGCATCCCATTGTGAATCAGGATGTGTGCATTACTGTCAGGCTGTGAAATCGGTGCGAGTCAGTGCATTTTTTTTGGCATCTCTATGATACGATGACTCAATGACTGGTGGCCTCCGCACAAGGACTGTAATTAAGCGTTGAGTGGTGTGCTTGAGCCAGCCGGGTGGGACGGGTGAGTTATGTGTTTCCCAGAGCTTCGTCTGGACGTCACCTATGTTTCAACCCTCACTAGGCCTCACTTTTCTCAGAGGCATTGTGCAGACAAAATGTGGCCTTGTAGAACGACTTCAAGTTGGAGGAATTTTTACGCTTCCCGGGGAGGTAAGGGCTACTGAGACGGCAGATGGTAACATCACACACAGGTTTGTGCTGGGTGCATGAACTACTTAATTTTACTGATCGGTGATATTATGGAACTCCTGAAGTGAGCAAGCATCCATCTGGAGAATGGAAGCGAGTCGCCAATTTGAGAAAAGTCACTTCGGTCTTTCAACCATTCTCTGCATGTGGCTGTTTTACATCTTCACAGCCCACATCTACGTCGAGTCAATCAAGGGACCCTGAATCAAGTATCCCTTGATTTCAAGTGCAAATGCTTACTTCGGTCGACCGTATGGTTCTCGTTTCATCCATACAGCAAGCTCTGGGCCGTGGTACTTTTTAAAAAAAAACATATTTATTGTCCTTTGGGGTCGAAACCCTAGGCGGACATAGCCCTAGATCGTGGTACTTATATCTGGCGTGCACATAATTGTCCTGTGTCCCCCGGGCTTGCCTTTCATTCTCACTATTATCTAACAGTATGACTGTAGTCTCAAATGATCCTATTTGGTGGCCGGTCATCAATGGAGCTCGTATTTTCAGCTATTTTATAGGTTCGTGGAAAGCTAGTCAGACGATGATGTTTCGATCTAACCTTGGATGTGGCTTCGCAGTTGCCGCCTGCATTGGGGGAATTTATGATTGGGGTGAGCAGGACAACATTCAAGAATTACTGATAGCCTTACGGTGTATCTAGCACTCACATTTGGACAAGAGGTAATATGATATTATTGCTGGATCCAGAGCAGTCACCTAACACAAAATGGTATCTATAGATTGAACTGGTCTGGGTGAGCATAGTCACACATCATAAGAGCAACATGAAAACACAACGAACTTGCGGCAGAGGCAACGCTGGTCACTCATGACCATTCTGTATTTGGGTGTGGGTACCTTGCGTCATGATTATGGTTGGCAGGTCGTGCTAACTTGCCAATATCCCAGGCGCGCTATCTCGGAATACTATATGCTGTGTATGTTTGGAATACTGAGCAATTGACAACACGCTGATCAACTGTGTCCCATAATCAGCTTCCAGATTCTGTGTATGTCTCCTCACATGATCTGTGTTTGTTTCTTTTAACCGACAACATACAGTGGCTGTTCCGACAGTTCCGCTGACTGATTCGGTGAGTATTTTGCACCAATACCCGACATTCCTGCCTAATTAACTGCACTCCCCATTGTAGAGGTGAGTAAGATTCTGACCAGCTGACACAATATAATGATTGCCACAGCTGTGAGTTTCTCGTGAATGTGTGATCCTCTGAGGCTAATCACCACCTGAATTATCAGGCTACATTATATTCATCGCATCAGATTGGGTGGGTGCCATCGTGAATGCAATACTGGATGGTGAGCTACGCAGTTGTAATGAGTGAGTGATGTTGACTTGACAGAAACATCGCACTAGTCATTATGCTCGCTCGATTATATGCCATGTATCAAAAATCCAACAAAGTGCTGATACTTCTTGTTGTAATCTTGCTGACCGTTACTATCAGCGATGGAGTGCTTAACGTAATGGCAACGAGGAATACTTCAGCAGGTACGCTTGATTATGGATGAATGACCTACATGTACCAGGCGTATATTAACGAATACCAGAGGAGTTCATTCTCTCCGGCACCTATCAATGCGGTGTCACTTTCGACAGTGATAGCAAAATTACAAATTCTATGACTTGGATAGTCGGAATTGTATGGGAGGTCCTCGTATTGTGTCTCGCAGTCTGGATTGCAGTAAAACACTTCCATGAACTGCGACAACAATCTGCAGGAGGGATTATCGGGGACTGTTTTACGGTGTTAATGAACACTCACCTGGTTTACTTTTTGAGGTGAGCTCATAATATCATTGCGGTTCTCTTTTCCGCTGAACTTCTGCACTTGCTAGCTTTGTTGCCGCTTCCTGCTTCCAGATTGCTGGGTTTTTGTCTCCAACATTGACGGTACGTCATTCTGTTGCCGATATCTGCATGCGCCGACTATCGTTCATCATTTCTATAGCTCTCGGATTCTACGGCAACTCAGTTTTATTATGGTTGTCTCAGCATTTTTTCCATCATGCAGATGTTTGTGCTGGGACCACGCTTGATCCTTGGGGTCAGAGAATATCACGCTAAGCTCATAGCGGACTCCGATGCGGCAACCGACATGGCTTCAATTGCTTTCCAGGAGCGTGTGCATGTGACAACTAGCAGCAGTGTGTAGTAGCATGGGAGAAGCTCGATGTGATGACTGTGGTAGGGTACTCTGGAGGAGTGTGTATGATTTCCTTGTTCTGAGTTTTATCACTGTACTTATTTATCTAAATTCTTCGCTGGTCCGAAGTATATTTGACTGAGAAGTTGGTCCGTACAACACAACCAATATTATTCTTGTAGTAGAATGTCTCATGACTTTACTTGAAGACATTGTGCGTAAACGAGTGGCATACAAGATGTTGTTGCAGAGGATTAGGTTCGCAGGCTACCACAGGCTCAGCAAAGTTTCAACTTGAAAATTACACCTACTTGCGGCGCATGGACAACCATGCAGTCATCGAAGAATGGCGAATATGCGACAGAAAAACCTCAACAACCACGCTAGATCACATATCGTTACCATTGAATCTAAGAGCAGGGCGACCGCGTCAGGTACCGCAAGAGAGGCCAATTAATTCCCGCACAGAACAATTATCGCAAACCTGACAAAATACCAAAAGTGAGTGCATAATTTAAATCCAAACCAAAGACATACGCCCACCGCCTGTGAGTATATGGTGATAAGGCGAACCATGCGAACGAGAGCGACGTGAGTGAGCACCTCCTGACGTGATAAACGTAATAGTTTCAGCTCTGGGTGATCTTTGGGGTTAGCAATGGCGCAATACAATGACTCTGGAAATTCTCTGCCTCTGGATGATTTTTCATGACGCTCAATCGTCACATTCGATCACGAGAAGAACATGTGGTAATTCGAATGATTCCTGGACAAGGCACAAAAATGACAAGAGTATCAATGAGTGGTTATGCACGGTGAAGCTATGGTCGACATTTTGAATCCGAGGTGGTTTCAACATGAAATCACAACTATATAAAAAGGGTCATTTGTTGCTGTGAAAGTGAACATGTCAGTCTTGCACGACAGAATGAGAATGAAAAGTATACTTGTGATCCTGAGGGACCAGTTCACCACGAATTGGAAACTCTCATTATGCTCCTTCTAGCTCTCCCCTTTCACGTCTCACAAATATCGGGCTCTCTGAAAGGAACCAGGAGAGCGCAGCAAATAGAAACCAAACGTCGGATTGGGGGGTGGTTGTCAGTCAGAAAGATCTGGAAGATGATTTGACATTCGACTTCATTGGATCGTCTGGGATGTCGCAACCTGAATCAAGAGGGGAAGACATACCAAACCATCTTAATTCGTATGGAACTAGCAATGTGCCTTGTTGAACACTCTAGAAGGTTATGTTATGAGGTGTCAGCGCGGATAGGAGTGCACATACCTCAATGTTGTGAATCACGCTTCAAAGGTAACGACCGTGGTGAGTAAGAAGTCGAAATTAGCGAGTAACTGAAGTCAATGTCAGTAATATTCAAGAGAACTAGTGTCAATGAGGATGATCAATATACAAAACACGAGTAATGACTGGGAGGAACAAAAACTGGAATCACGCTATGGATTCGCTAGACGTTTGGGAAGTGGCTGTTGGGATTATAAGTACAGACCTTTGGAACGTGTTTTGGGCCTGCAGACCACGCACATTGAAACTCCTGGTGCATGTGTCACACAGTCACGTTGTGACCAACCAAGCTAGCTCCTGGGTGGGTCTGAATGGAGGATGAGAGATAAAAACAGTGAACACAGACAAACGGGGATGCGAAGAAGTTCGTTTAAACCTGGCAGAAAGATAAAAGAAATACGGTGACGAATCTCGGAAGCAGGTTATTTTGAGGGAACGCACGGACCAGTACTCCTCCAGGAGAGAAGTTCCTGTGGGGCGTCAATTGCGTTTTGCATGAATATGTATCTGATGCTAGTCTGTCTTCGACATTTCCATCGTGATCGCAAAGGCAAGATTGACGGGTCTAACTACCAACATCAAACAAAATATTGAGGAATACCATGCTGCGAAATTAGACAAGCTATCGTAGATCTTGATACTTGGAGGGTACACGCGCTGTTTTCTGCGACGTGTCGTCCAATACGATCGATACAGCGGTGCTACGTAGAGGGTCAGATACAGGAAATTTAAAAAAGACAGATACTCATTGGACTAGCGTGAGCTCAGTAAATATACGAAGATACAACACATTGATAACATACACCACATGGTCAGAGTCATGGGCTGGAATCAAGTACTAGACAACTTGAATACACCAACTCACCTCGACGCGTTCTGCCAGTAATTCTGGCTAAGGTGAATCGTCAGAAAAGTGATCCTCTGCTTGTCCCGACGATACCACTGATACACACGCCTCTGGGGAAAGGAAACCTCTCCTAGTGATCTCGACAACGTGGCACGATTCCTGCTGAATATTACTCGAGAATTACAAACATAATCCGTCACTGGTAGAAGCTCGGGCTTGTGCCCAATGTTCCAATAGTGATCGGATGATCTAGTCTGGGCGGAGAACGAGCATCGATGATGAGCATAGATATATCAGGCTTCCCTTTTCAAACTCTCAAGCTTGGATATAATTAAGTCACCTACCCATCAATGCACTTTAGTGAGAATGTGACCATGTATATTCTTCCGAAACAAGACATTCTACACAAGACAGCCATAAAGCTGCAGGTAAAATGCGAAACTCGACAAATGAATGCTCAACTGATGTCATATCGACGATGACCGCACCTCTAAGTTGTTACTTACCGCAAGGCGATAGTCCTTGTTCTTGCTGTGACCAACTAGCCAAAGTTTTAAATCCACTTTCTTCGTGCTGGACCTAAGACTACATCAGTGAATGAAAATTTGGAACGAATAGGTTCAGTGTACCCAGGAAGAGGCACGGCGACTGGATCAAGAACATTTTCTTCCTCTTCATCCTCGAGTTCGTCACCATAGACCGGCCGTGATTCCTGCTTCTTCCCCTTTTTCTGGAATCAACTGAGGCAAAAGAAGAGAACCCATGGTCGTGTTCCGTCATCCACACCGATAACGTCGGCCTAGAAAATAATACGGTCAGATCTCACGATCCCAATAGAATTGTAGAGACAAACGTAGGTAGCTTGTCCAAGTGGAACATCGACAACTTTTACAGGTATTTGTTTGGGTTTACGCGCCTTTTGCTTCCCCTTGTCTGAAGGCGACTGAACGGAATTGACAAAGGCCCTGCCACCGGGCAAGGGAGTCGATGGAGAGCTGTCTCCATGAAGACGATTGAGAGGCAATGGCGATGCAGCAGGGAACTGCAGTGCGTGTGTTGAGTGAACTGTGAAAGAAACAAGAGAAAGAGAGATACATCTAGGGGATCACGAGGTTGAACGTTGAACCTTCCGACCAGGCCATAGTGTGTGATGCTTGTGAGGGGTATGAGGTCAGCGAGGAGGCGTGTTGGTGGTGGTGTCGCAGAGGCTGAGGCTCGTTTACGACAACACGTCATACTTGTGAGGCTGGTGATGTCAGCGATGCAGCGTGGGAGTACTCCCGGGAGCTGCCGGGCCATTCTGGTTCAGGGTGGTGTTGCTGATGTCACGGTGGGGGCAATGGGAGGTGTATGTCATGAACTTGTCGATCGCACACCTCTTGGCCAGAGCTCACTAGCACTCTTCCTTCCAAGCGGAACGCCAGCCTTCCAGTATTGATACAATGGTGAGACACCGATGAGTCCCCGAATTTTGCTATTATCCTAAGACTTGAATATTCTAGGACTTGCACAGTGATATATTGTACACTTTCAAATCGGAGAGGCAGCCTTCGGAGTCAGGGTTTCAAATCAAGGTAACGTTCTCGAATATCTTTCATTGTCTAACTTACGCTAGAACCACTCTAGCATGTGCACAGACAGACGCAACTTGCTATCGCCGCAAAAGTCCCCCCGGAGGTCATCGTTATGATCCTTGGAAAGATACCTCGACCCCGTCTGCCACAATTAGACCTGTTCTCTCCTACTACTCCCGCCTCTTCTCCATTCCGGTCACACGTCCCGGACGTTGCTCTCGTCTCGGCCCCTCTTGTTTGCATGTCCTGGCACGGTCCAGCCACAGAAGTTCTGTATGAACATATCAATCTACAGACAACGAAGGAGTGTGAAATTCTGCATCGCACCCTTCAGTCCAATCCCTCGTTTGGTTCATGGGTCAAAGTCCTGCACTTGCCGCGTGGACAAGCACCACACCTTCCCGTATCGCGGCCGGCCGCGTCAACCACTGCCCCTGCTCGATTACTGCAGCTGTCCGCTGATATTTTCAGAGCTTGCAACTTGATCCATGAAATCGATATCATGGCTGAGGTGAGCATCTCCTGTTATTCACGGGCGGGCGCACTCTCAATTATTTCTCTGCGATTTAGTTTGGCCTTTTCTCAGAACCATCTGAGCACACGTACCTACGATCCATTCGCGTCACCAACGTTAACAATTCAATACTTGGCGGCCCGAGACCAGTCCGCTTTTTTGCTCTGCGAGAACTCACTCTCAACGGATTTCACTTCGATGGCTCGCAGACAAACTCGAGGGCGGACTCCATGTGGCCCGAGTTTTCGCAGCTTACGAAGCTTCGGTTAGAACACTGCACCTTCGTCAACGAGGATCTAACCCAGATTCTACCACGGTCAAATGCAAGGTTGAAATGTCTTGAATTGTTTGACACTCGTCACCCTTTCCGATCCAATAACTTTGAGCTTCCAGGTTTTCTATCTGGTTGTCTCGAAGAGCTCTGGATCGAGGACTGCTGGCCGTGGTCGTTCGAACCTTCCTTGCGATTGTATCAATCGTTACGAACTGTTCATGTCGATTGGGATGTTTTCAGCAAGGCGGCACCTTTCCTTCCTATTGGCGTGCGGGTCATATCTGTCAATGTACCCGTCTCTGTGGCAAGTAGCGCTCCAGACTATGAAAACTTTGAGGCGTCTTTGCGGTCGATATCAATGGGACTTCCTTCACTTGAGAGGGTCATAGTTTCGGGAGATAGCAAGTACCCATTGCTACAGGACGTGTTGGGTTTGAAGAAGAGTTTAAACCTTCAAGCTGTGAGACTGAGGGTAAATTATATTCGGCACGGCTGAGGTGAGTGGATTTGGCATCGTCTGACGCCACTGTGGCTTTTGTTACCCAAGTTGATGGAGTGTTTGGTTCGATTTGACATGCAGCATCTGGGTCTCGTGGCACGGAGTTCAAGTAATCTATAATTTACGTGTTTCAGCTTGAATCAGGGTTTGCCGATTGGTCAAATTATTTATTTGCGGTGTCTGGACCTCCGAGCGGCTGAATGCACTGCGTCGTCTCCACACGCCGAATACTTGTGTGACAAGGGACCAATGGGTTTACATATCTTAAACAATTAGTGTACACACAGACAAAGAAAGGGCACCAACGCCAACCGACTCCGGGAAGAAATGAGACTGAGAGAAGTACGAGATCGAGGCAGAAACAAGAAAAGAAACTAAAGACCCGCCCTGCGTGCTGTCATTCCAGCGATACCCATCCAGCGATACCCATCTCATTACGCTTTGCCTTCAACCTTCCTGGCAACATTGTGCACGAGCCGGCGATACATGTCTTCGGTGTCGTAGTTCGAGTCGCCTGCTGTGATACCCGTAATTCCCCAACCAACCTAGTAGGGAACTTGTCAATGAGACATCCAGAAAGAAACCAAATGGGAAACATACAACGCCGATATGGCTGGTATCTCCCTCTAAACCGAGGTACTCGCCCTACTCCAAGTGTTGAGTGAAATAAGGAGATACTGAAACCGGTCACCACATACCCATTTCGCGGAGCCGACAGAAACCATTCCGTCATTCTCTCCGAAAGCCTCGGGGTACCTCGGGTCGCTCTGATTCTTGATGTGTTTGTTAGAGATACTGACATCCATCCCATGAGCTGCCAGATCCGCAGAAAAAGAGGCAGACGTACAAAAAGAGGTGATTGATCCTAGGATCAAACTTCGAGGTAACACTGTAATACTTGATTCCCGCCACATCTTTGTAACTCGCGTTGAAGTGCGCCATGTTCTGCGGCGTCATATCATTCATGGCCTTTCCAGATCCTGACAGAAGGCCAAGCAGGATTTTGCACTGAAGTCTACTGAGAACACCTGAGAAACCATGGACTCAGTGGAAACGTCGATGGAGATGTGTATCGTAGCTCACCCAAGCTGTCGGACAATGAAGCGATGGGCGATCCGTAATGGGGCGTCGATATCGTGGTAATGGATAACACATTGTATCTGAGATCTGGCATGTGCACCAGACGTCTGGCATCGAGGCCACCCATAGAATGGCCTGATTCGACAAGACATCAGAACTTGTATGCGAAAAAAAGGAAATGACCGACCAATGAGATGGACGTCGGGCCTGCTAGTGCTCGCACCGGGACGAAGGCCAAGCAAATCGTTGATTTGCGAGTTTAGCTGACCGGCCCTCTCGTCGATACTGCCTGTCATACTAACTTTCGGTACAACTACTTTGCAGCCTTGGCTCTCCAAGTCTGCCTTTACGCCTCTAAAGTAGTTGATACCCATCATTCCGTCCGTGCCCAGGAAGCCATGACAAAGAACAATGTAGTTGTCAGGATAGATATCTGTGGTGAGCGATCATAGGTCAGTATGACATCGAACGTTTGGAGCAGAAATAAGACGTGCAAGGCATTGTTGCTCGAGTCCAAGTTGTGAGAATTGAAGGGAGAACTCTGTGGCGCAGGGGAAACTTTCGTAAATGTTCTGAGAGGGAAGGGAAAGCTCAGGCTGTCTTTTATAAGTCGCAAAGAGAGTAAAAAATTGTCGAGATGAGCTTACTGTATTGGCCAAGTGTTTGGGGTCTCAATTTAAAACCCACAGCTGCAAGCTGCACGGGTGTGAATTGGAGAACAGCGAGAAGTCCTCGTGTCAACATCGTGCAGTGGAATACCATACGGACGGTACTAGGTAATCGTAAAGTAGGGAAGGAGACATCTAACTTGGAAAAGGGATGCGAACTGCGAACAGCATGACACAGGGTCTATTCACAGGGTCTATTCGCGGTAACAGGGTGGAAGTGCTGACAGTGCCTGCTTTTCATCACTGTTAACTGATTTCGGACAGCAAAAGGTGCTTATCGTGGACGCTAGTATTAGAGCAGACGCTCATCTATAGATGTACACGCCTTATCAAACCCGTTCTGGAGGCGCCAACAATCATCTCAAGGCAGTACAATGTACAATGAAGCTTAAGCGCTAAGCCTTGGCTTGCCTGATAAGTTTGCAGCATGGCAAGCGGATGGGTACTAACCACTACTGGATTAATTACACGAACCAAAAATTTCGAGTGGGATGCGTCCGATGCGATTTGTGATCGTCCTAGTGAAAAGCTAATCGGGAAGCTACTAACGATCGTCAGATTTGCAATTCAAGTATTTTAATCTCCGATTCTCGAGGTTAGGGTTTATGTAACCCTGATAGGGGGGCGCTTTCTTCGAACTTTGGCGCCTTTGGTTCATAGTAGTCCTGAATTGCAGTGATAGCACCCCCTTGCAGTGATAGCGCCCTCTTAGCCCCGAGAACCGGAGATTTCAGTAGCAGTACGATGGAACCTAGGTACTCGGTTTCTTTGAGACTGTGGCATATTCATTGCACGCCTGCGACAGGATTTACAAGCGAAATCTCTTACACAATGAAGGTAAGTGTAGCCATCGCGAATAAGCCATGTACATATATGAAATACCATGCTGATTGTAGTTTTTAGGTGAGCGGTTATCATGGTCAAATCATATATGCCCGAACAACTGACACCTTTTGACACGCCCATTGTTGGCGCTTCAAGAACGGGTTTGATAAGGCCAAACTACATGCGTACATCTACATATGAGCGTCTGCTCTAATAGCGTCCACAATAAGCACCTTCAAGCTGTCCGAAAGAAGTTGTTAAACTGTGACGAACAGCAGGATTTAATTTTCCTTTTCTTTGGCCAACTACCGTCAAACTGGGTCGTTAGTCTCTTCTGGAGCAGTCATCAATAGGTGTTAGTCTTGCGCCCTTCGTGCATATTAAAGTGACTGACCTTCTTCATAACCGTCTATGCCTCCTTCGGCGTGTACGCATCCCTCGAAATTTCGGTTCGTATCATAACCCACATGTAATTAATCCAGTAGTAGTTAGTTCCCATCCGCTTGCCATGCTGCAAACTTATCAGGCAAGCCAAGGCTTAGCGCTTAGCGTTTAAGCTTCATTGTACATTATACTGCCTTGAGATGATTGTTGGCGCCTCTTGAAGAACGGGTTTGATAAGGCCAAACTAAACGTGTAGTCATCTACATACGAGCGTCTCCTCTAATAGCATCCACGATAAGCACCTTTTTTCTATCGGAAAGCAGTTAACAGTGATGAACAGCAGGCACTGTCAGCGCTTCCACCCTGTCACGCAATCTCAAGGATGCTGGTCTCACTCGAAAAATCCTTTGAAAACTTACTTCCGAATGTGCGTCAATTGAAGTAATTCAAAGTCAGGTAAGGAATGAATTGGACAACAAGGAAGCAACATCCTGATAGACCCTGGCGCCACCTATCAATCGTGTCTTCGGTGCTCCAGCCTCCACTTACAAGTATGTACGAAGACGACCCTTTGTCGTGCAGTTCGTAGTCAAAGTTAAATCGATTTCGCCCTTTCCCTGCTAGTGGTTCACAATTGCCTACTACCATGACTCGTCCTGCAGTCTGGGCTCGCCGGATTCATGTGCGGTGCCTCTCTCTTATGGATGATATTGAACGTAGCGCACAGCTGCAGATGCAAGCCCGACAAACGATGCAGTCTGTGCCCCTTCCAAAAGCATTTAAGTCGCCACAGAACCTGTCCGACTCTGTACGATGTACATAATCCAGCCTGACGAATGCGATTAGTGATCAGCCTCGGGTGGATCATACACTCAAGACAGACCTACATCTGCTACGAAGATCGTCGGAACGCTGAATGTATGCCGCCGGTCAGAAGAAATAAAGTTTAATAAACATGGTGATGCGACGAGACAAACTCAGTATCTCCACGCTGATGATAAGATGTGGTTCGTTAGTACAACATCAATCATTTAGCTTTCCGAACGTGCACGGCAGACGATATTCCAAGATAGCGCACCTAGGGTGTTTTCAAGAGTGAACATGAGTTTTCAACCACACCTATAATGCAAGCTGCATACACTCAGATATAGAACGGTCATAAGGGACCAATGTTGCCTCTGTCGCAAATCAATGCTGTTCTTCTGACGTGGAACTCTGCTCACCCAGACCAATTCGACCTATGAAACCAATCTTAGCTAGATGATTGCTCCAAAAATAGCATCAACGTACCTCTTGTCCGAATGTCAGTGCTGGAAAGACTTGTAAGAGATCAACAGTTCTTGAATATTATCATGCTCATCCCAATCATACGTCACTCACCCAAAGGCGGCCACTGTGAAACCACAGTCAAAGTGAGATCGAGAGGCGATATCCGTTACTGAAAGTTGATTGACTGCAGTATTTTGCATGCATGTGAAGTCCACCCAGGGGCTCAAAGTAGATGTTGATCGTGGGTGATGGTGACAGGCATCAAGTTTCACCAGAGACATTCAGTCAAGCGTCTATATCCTAGGGCTCTTACAGCCGTTTGAAAAACTAGTAATAAGGGCCGAAGGCTGTATCACACTATTAGCACGCCATGAGAAAAGTCAAAGATTCGAACAAGCTGAGGCAATAACTCACTGGTGCCATACAATCTGCCAATGCTCACTCCTCAACGCCTAATCTGATGTAAAATTTGGTCTAATAAATGCCTAGGTGTGATGTGATGTGAGGTTTCGGAAAAGTTTGCCATCAAATGAGCAGCAGTATCCGCCCGCCCGAGCGCAACAGCTCCTCCGAGGACATTCAACTTGAGCGGGCTGACTCGGAGATCATGTCGGCGTGACAGAAATGTTGGATATACAGACAGATACCTCACCTGTACAACCCGAGGGCCCTTCAAGTACACTTCTCAATGCCTAATCTTGCTGTTTATCCTTGTCCTCAGCGTATGTTACCTCATGCAAACCTTCCCACCCTCCACCTCCGGCATTGCCCTATCATATCATAGGGACACCAATAGTAAGCGGTAGTGCAGAATCTGATACAAGACACCACACTCAATTTGCATCATACCTCCGGGCCGCCAATGCACATTCCTCGATGTACAACATTCGACGCTCAGCGCTCAATACCGACTTAAATCCTCGCTGCAGTTATTGGTCGCCTCACGCACAGTTGCGCACCTGTTCACAACAGATCTTCTGCCTCGGACATTAGGCTGTGATATCACAGGAATGAGAACAATGTAGGAAGGGTAGTGCCACTCTAGACTGCTGCACAGGCGATCTGATGAACATCCTAGCGGTGCGTGAAATCAAAATCCTTACTAGTGTCCGGTCGTCAAGTGCACAATATTTGTGGGTGCCGGGTATCTGCCGAACGTTCAGGAATATTAATGTCATTGGTGACAGGTGAACTCAGCTGGGCTGAGCCCGTGAACTGAGCCCAAGAATTGAATATTGAGCAGCCCTAATAGTAACTCATCAAGCATCAAGGATGCTGCGGTGCACGTGGGAATTTTAGCTGGTTCTAGTGTTGTTGTCGAAGCGAGGTGACCTCGAGGTATTACAGTTCGCTTCGGTTCGAATTTTGAGGCAGTTCGATCCACCTCGGTTCGTTGCGCCTCGTTCAGGACAATCAACCGAAGTGGCAACGAGGTCTACAATCTAATAGCAAGAATCTGATTGTCTCATCACTCGGTCCGACTTCGATGCACTTCAGTTCGTTCCACCTCATCAGAACGAAGTGACACTTCGTCTTGGTTCGCTTCGCCTCGCGCCAACACTACCGAGTTATGCCAAATGGAACGGACTCGGCACAGCCACACGAGAAGGTACTAGGTCAGTGACTATAGTACATTAACCAATGATGAAGGTATTGTTGGGTCATTGTTTGATAGCACAATCTGCTGAAGGCAGCATATACAACTTCACTGTACGCTGAATGTTCAGGTGACTCGTTGACCGGGGCCGTGAATCGGAACACGAATATGCTTTAGTAGTATTACCCCGCATCTTCTCACTGTTACTGATGTCTTTTGTATATCACTGGCAGCAGAAGCTATGTCTGCCAGAGCCGCGATATACGCAGGAGAATGGTTGTCTGATTTTTTTCTTATTTCATCCTTTTCACTCAGAGCATCACTCACTGCAGGTACCATTCAAAAGACTTTGACTCCACTCATGATCGAGAATCGAGATGGATGGCCTGGTGGCAGCGGCGGCGGTGTTGTACGGGGCCGGGAGAGTTGCATATACAAAGGTGCGCTATCATCATCACAGCTCAATAGTGCTGTGCAGATGAAGCACCTAGGCTGTGTCGCGGCTGGTGCCATGCGGTTGCATTGTATTCTACCCTCACCTGTGGTAGCGTTGTGATTAAATCCCCATACCCTATCTACAACTCACTACCTGAGGGCCGTTTTGGAGGCGCGCACTGCATGGCATGGATGTCAACTCTTTTTATGCATGCTTACGTTCATGTCCTACGTCTGGCGACAGGACGATGGCTCTCCACCAACATGCTCTTGTTTTCCTCCCCTACGTCAATTGCTAGCCGCTCCTTGTATTTTTGGGTGTTACATCTGCAGCTGCCGCAGGTGTCCGGCCCCCGCAGATTGAGGCTGCGCGCCCGCTGATTCGAGCTTTAAGTTCGCAAGAATACTGCCTTGCTCCTGACATTGCTCTTTCACGGGTGTGTTCGCAAGAATACTGCCTTGCTCCTGACATTGCTCTTTCACGGGTGTTGTGCGTACAAGCTGCTGTCTGTGGTAGCACAATATGATGAGAGTTGTTATTTACTACGAGGTAATCTGTTGAATGGCTCTTCCTCAGCAATGACCAATTCATGTCCTCCGTAGCATACCCAGGGTCTAACCCACTTTACCTCGCTGATAGGTTCTCAATGTGTGGATCAGAACGTTTCTCCGGAGAACGTGGATGATGATCGCCGTGGTGATTTCCATGGGGAAAAAACCTCTTCTGGGTGGTGCCTTGCTATGCAGGTGACATGCATGTTCTGATGCAACCGGAGCTGCAACTCTTGCGACCGCACTAGGATAAGACTATGCTCGATGCTGCAGTTTGCGATAAGACACGATCATCATTTCCCATATTAATTTCTTCACCAACGTCCACGGGACGCTGCATTGCCTGGATCGTATAAGTATCTTATAAATGACCTATAGCTAAGCGAATTGTCGCCATTAACCAGTATGAGTGCTTTACAAGGCTCTCAAGCTGACGTGCTCTTGTGGTCAAAGGTGAGTACAACTTCTGTAATCGAGTCAATCCTGGATCACCAACGTCCCGTCCCAGTACTATTATGGTGCGGCTGTTGTCTATTAAATCAGTCGCTTTCGTTAATCTATGTTTCTTATCCTGATAGTTGCATTAACATCGCTTTGGGTGAGCTATATAATTTATCATGACCGTGCAGTGATTCACTGTATTAAGACATATGACTGCATACTTTGCATGCCTGACTCGGCAAGTGGAAATTTGCTTGAACGCCCTATAGTATATACTCTGAACTGTAATTGATGCAGGTCGCTTTTATTCTCGATTCTCGGTGCGGGCTCGGCACGGTATTCTATCTCACCTGCAGTTACTTTCCATCTGTCTTCATGTTACTGAATATGCTTGGTGAGCATCAGATTTACACATCCACAATGTCATCAGGGTGTAACGCGTTCATGTTTTGCAGTGACTTTTTTGCCTCGTGGTTCATACACTGTATGATCAAATGTTGCAAACATGCGAATCCAACTCATACCCCCATCATAGCTTTGTCGCTTGATATATATAACAAATATTTGTGGGTCTAATGCTGATTTACCTCGACGCATACTGACTCTGCGTCTCACACCTCATTAGGTGTAGGGTTCCTGTCGATGTTTTCCGCCGAGTGTGGGTTTACCGATCGAACTAGCTATTGCTGATCCTGCGTTCTAACATCTGCACAAATCCCTGATGGTTCGGGCATCTTCATACTCAGAACACTTGCAGTATGGGAGCGGGACAGAAGGTTCATGGTGTTCAAAATCATCAACGTTATTGTGAGATCAATACCAGGACTCGGAGGCTGCAGCCGACTCCAGATAATATGTCTGACTCGTCTTCCGCAGGCCTATCTAATACCAATCCTCGTCTGCTTTCTAGAATTTATCCCATCAGTGGGTGAGTAAATCTCTCAAAACCTTTGCCTGCTCAACTCACAACATCTAATCTATTCGTAAAGGAGAATGTTCGATCCCTGGGGGTGTCGGATATCTTGATACGAAGGCAAAGTCTTCAGTGATTGCTGTGTACTGCTTGCTAGTTGTTGGCGAGTTAGGTTGCTATTAGAGGTTGCTACTCAAACATGAACTCGGACTAACCGCATGCCTTTGCATGTACATACTTGCAGAAATATTGGTGTTTGTGCTGTATCGCGTCTTCGAGAGTCATGGTGGCTGGGAGATCAAAAACCGTCTTATGCGTGGTCTCATACACCATAATCTATTGTACTTTAGCTGCAGCTTTGATTCGTGCCCAAATCATTCTTAAATATGTATTTACTTGCTAAATGTCACAGCTTTCTCTGTTTGTGTCATCCTCGCTACAGTCTTCCTTCCGGTAAGTCAATGTGCACACTCGAAGCCACCCCATTAACGCGAGATATAGTTTCCAGTGGTACACATGATTGCAGAGTGTGTTTAGTCTCACTTGGAGGAAGCGATGGTTACTCATTCGGCAGCAGGACTCAGGTCGTTGCTCTATCTCTTTTGGTCACGCGAATGCACAGGGACTTCTGGAGATCCGATCGTGTTTCTTGTAGCAACGATGGAGTGGATCTCTCTCTCTCAACATTCATGGCAGCAACTCCAGATGTCATGTGAGTGTAATCCCCCTTTAAAGCGTTGTGCAGCTAACATACGACCGAAGAAGACATGTAGAATGAGTTTATCAAGCGACGTAGCTGAATTGATGAATCGAGCTATGGTTCCTCCATTCTTTATCATGCAATCACGATAGAAACTTCCTGCAAGCCATCCTTTGCATCACTGATCAGTATTCATTGGATAGCTATAGGGATGTGGATTTCATGGATGGTATAACACATGATAAGAATAAAGGAGATTCGTATATGTTGCAGCGAGCGTCTTAGTAAAAATGATGGGGAGATAGATATACTGAAAGCACGACGTAGTCGACAATGATGATGGTGATGATGGCGCTGACACGAGTCCAGGGGCTAGTAGTCTGTGCGTTGAAACAATCAAAATGATCATACGGAACGCGGCAAATAAAAACCAAACGCTAGACGAAATTCATAACAAAGATAAACCCAGGGTCATGCAGATATCGTAGACAAGTGTTGGAACGTGACCAACCAAATAATGGCGCACCAAGAACCGTCCGTCGCAATCGGTAAGTCGTCTCAGCAGGTCCATGTTGAGTCGGCAGCAGCTGTGTACTAGCATTCCATCCACACAAAAATTCCCGATTCCCGGATAAAATCTAAAATATCCAGCAGCTCTGTCCTATTCTCGTACTTGTCCTCCTCCCCACGCCCGCATTGCCCCCAAGCACTCACCGCGGCCCGTACCCATATGCGGCTTGCGGGCCTGGCGATACCCTACCACCACCGATGGCGGGACTTGCCGGTCGCCCATCAAGTGCATATCCCATGGCCGCCTGCGGACCAGGGGACGCGCGACCTTGCACATCATATCCTATCTGTGGACCTGGACTCCTGGTCCGGGCCATCCGCGTCATCTGGATAGCCTCTGTATTATGGCCATCTGAGAAACCGTCACCAAATGTATTGGGCACGGGGCCACGATAGGGATCGTAGTAGCCTGGCTGGTCGTAGGTCCCGGCGTCGTCGTGGTAGGGTTGGTTGGGGTTGAGGTGCGGGAGGGGAGGGACGGCGTATGGATCTGGTGAATTTGTATAGGTTTCAGGAAGTGAGTTGGCAGCTACGGAATGGGCGTATCCACCGGGACTGGATGCGCGTGCGAGGTTCACCTCGGATTCATTCTCTGCACCGAAACCTGACCGGCCCGTAGAATTGGTTGGCAACGCGTGAACATCAGAGCCATGAGTGTTCAGCTCTGGCCACTTGATTGCTTCATCTGATGCGGTTGTTAAATCGTGAGGTCGTGATAGATTTACAAGTTACAAATCAGAAAACGCACTGTCATCAAAGTCTGCGAAGCGTTTTCTGGTGAACTTCCAAATAAAGAATGAGATGATGCCAATGACTGCAACACCACCCGCTACAGAAAGACCGATAATGGAGCCCGTGCCAAGGCCACTAGAGCTACTGCTGCTAGAAGAAGACTGTGTGCTTGACGGGGTCGTGCTGGATGTGGGTGTAATGACAATAGTGCTGGTAATCTCCTGTCCAGCAGAATTGGTTGTAACTTGTACCGATGTAGACAATGGAAGTGGAGCTGTAGTCGGGGTGGGGCCAGTGGTCTGGGAAGGTGGTGTGGAAGTGGTTTGGGAGGCGGTGGTGGCGGTGGTGGGGGTTGACGGTGGGGTAGCCGTCGTTTCGGTCGGAGAAGTGGTAGGAGGTGTCGAAGTAGTTAAGGGTGTTGACGTCGTTTGCGGTGTTGTAGTTGTAGGGGTTGTGGTAGGTGGGGTCGTAGTGGGGGTAGTAGTGGGGGTCGTAGTAGTAGGCCCCACGGGAGGTGCAGATATAGTTATTTGGCGCACATGAAGATTAGGCTTTCGCTCTTCAAGTAGCTGATGTGGAGCATGTGCAACTGATACCAAAAAACAAGACGCCACTACAAGAAGCAGCAGACATCGCGATGTCGTGCTCTTCATCGCGCTCTTCATCGTGCGGGTTTAAGTTGACTGTCTAATATCGTGTGACACGAAGATTAATGAGCGGTCTCTATGGTATTTTTCGAGGTTAGCACGTCGTTGCCGTTTGGGGACGTATGGTACGAAGAGGGAATGCAGGTAAATGTGAATGAAAGGAAAGTCTGGTAAAAAGCAGAGCGGCAACCAATGACCGGTGGCAGTGTTCACTGTCGTGACATCACCGTAACAGTGTCACATCTCGTATCAACGGGCTCTGCCCGCGCAGTAAGGTACATGATGGAGAAATCATTAAGCCTGTGCGACATGCTATAAGTAAGTCGTTGTCGTTATCATCATCATCATCACGGAGCAGCGCCCATCCTCAGTCCAATGACCTCCTTCCCAACAGTTTCGCAATCTCTCTATGTTCTCTAAGCCAATCCGAAAACCCTCTCGTCTCCCTTCCCTGCATCTCCCGTATTTCAATGAGATAGTTAGCAAACACGATCAGGGTGCCATAGCGATATCTGCGTGTAGTGGGCGCGCGTCAGGTAGCTACGTGAACAACACATGGATACAACTCACAAGTAATTCACCGCAACGTTCATCAGCTTCCGTTGCGCGCTTCCCTTTTCCAGGGCCTCTACCTTGAGTTTGTAGCTACACTCCTCATTAGTGCCAGAACAAGGCACGATACGGTCATTTCACTTACTCGTATATTGACTTGCGAAGATTCTGCACGTCTTGCATAAGATCAATGGCACGGTCCGTCAGGCGCTTTGCGATTTTGCCGTGAGACAAGACGCCGACAAGTTGCAATATAGTCTTGTACTCCCCTACCACAACATATCGTCAGACAGCAACACTCGGGTTTAACTGGCAATCAGACCTTGCCGGTAAGCCTGTTCCTCTGAGGGACCATCAATGGAGTCGTATTCAACAGAGTCGGGATCTTCCTGTCCGTCAATGTAGTTCTCTTCGCCCTGCCAATTCATCGTCGTCGATATCAAGCAGGCTGTGACCATCCCCGTGGTTGTACGACCACGGCCCATCTGACAATTGAATATGAAGTCGTCTGCCTCTGGATATCCGGACCGGACACGTTCCAGTAATTGTGACAGAGCATCAGGTAACGGCGCTTGTTCGTCAGTCTGTAAACGCCCATGAGCGCTTGTTTCATAGGAAACCCTAGTTCCTCACGATAGCAACTCGACCATAATTGATCTGTCGTACAGAATCAGCAACGGCAGACCTAAAAATTCAAGAATGTCGCGCTGACCTTGAACCCTTCCTTAGCCATAAGATCGAAAACATCTCTTGGGGTCATGATATCATCCTCGTCCACTGTCTCCCATATGGGTATGATAGAGAACACGCCAGGCCGCTCCTCGAGCTCATCATGCAAAAGAATACGTCCATTACCCATTCTGACCTCACGTATAACATCCTTCTTTAAGCGTTCCTCCATAGCCTCCACCATGGCTGTTGTGACCCCAGTTGCTCTGCGCGATATCAGTCTGCTGTGCCACGTGGTTCATAAACACTCACTCTACGTTTTCAAGTGGCTTGTTTACGATCCGCAGAACATGCGGGCGGCCCGCAATATAGAGGACCGGTTCCTATGTCGCTTCAGTCATGATGAAGCGAACATCGACATTCCGAGTCTCACCTCTCGCAGAGATGTCCAGTACACCATACTGTGACCTTGCGGATCAGCATCAACGCGTGCTAGCGCTCGCCGCAAACTATAGACAGTACCCGGTGAGACTTCATTCCATTAATACACTGCAAACCCACCCTTGAACTGTAGGCATTCCGCTGTAGAACTCAGTTAGCGAACGTCAAGTGTCATCCCTCAGAGAACAAACCTGCCGCACAACATCTTCTCATCAGCCGGATCTATAGGAGAAGAAGCCCGAGAAGAAGCCAGCTTCAATGTTAGTGGCACGCGACGGAAATTAGGAGAGCCTTCGATCCTCCTTTACGAGAAAATCATTCAGTTCACGCTTCATTGGAATTGTGAAAAGACGCACTCAGGGAGCGACATCTTTTGCAGGTTGGAGAAGAAGTCGCTCTTGAGAATGGTAGACGCAGAGAGAATGCTGCCAGATCGGTTTACTACCACTTGCCTGACTTCGTCGGGATGAGCCACACTCTCATTCACGTCCGCACGCTCGAGTGGCTTGAGGGCGTGTAAGCCTTCCGCAATGAGTTCCTTCTCGAACGTTTTGATGACTATGCCATACTGAGAAGTGAAACACTTTAGTAAGGTGCAAGAATGATATCCTTACCTGGGCGATTCTCAATGAAACTCTTAAAAGTCTCAAATGACTGCATTGTATCTGGCTCAGTAGATCGCAGATACGCCTGAAACAAAATGAGCTCAAAGTAGCGTCGCAAATTATGCATCCCTAGGGCTGTTCAATACTAGGATAAAAAAGAAAGCATTGTCTTTACCTTTTGAAGCATGAATGCGCTTTTGCTTCTCGTCAGTTGCTTTCTCAGCCAAAATACGCTCGTCTTCGATGGAGTCTCGGAGGTTCATGACAATCGCACATCGATCAATGACCTCATCAACAGTGTTCTTAACTGCAGGACCTTTCCGGACGATTCGAAGGAGATCTGTCTCAATCTCAGTGGTATACCTAAACAGGAAAGGCTAATAACGTACTATTGATGACTTGATACGAATGGCGCTTATTTCCAGGCTCATCCTGAAACATATCAGAAGTCATTGACATTGACAACGAGCCATGCTCCGTTCGAGGTGACCACTGAGAAAGCGCCCGGCTGTCATTCAGCCATTGTTGAATGAGGACAATCAACACCTGCGTTGCAAGAACATCAATATTGACAGTCTTTCGCTTCCACCCGTACTCACGGAAGTTAGAGTGCTCCTTCCTCGCCCAAGCTGGCAATTGACGACCGTAACCGTGCGGGAAGAGTCTGTACGAAGAACAAGGTCCATGAGCTCACTGATGTCTGCAAAATCAGGAGGACGCTCGGATGTGATCGGGATCCGAACATATTGGAGGTCCAAGCCATGTCTAGATTTACGGGATGCCATAATGTCCTTGAGTACTGCGACGTTCGAGGGCCGTACTTCTTCCCATATAGGAATCACAGATCCATCTGAGGTCTCTGTGTGAAGAAGCAACCTTCATTGTATTTCCGGGTATATGAATTATGGTTTGAAACTGCCGGTAAACAAAGACCCACCTTCCCCCAAATGCTTCAAGCTCTGCAAGGACATCATCTTTCAGACGCTCTTCTAAGATTTCCAATCGCGAAGCAGAAATCCCTCCATAATCTATGATAGTCCAGTCCTTCAGGAACATTATCAAACCTAAAACCTGAGGGCGCAAACCTTTCATGTTCCGGAGGGAGAAGCGCTCGCGCCTTAAACAGTAAGGCGCGCCGTTGACATACACAATGGGTTCCTCTCTCAATGTCACCCATACGACTTTGTTGGCTTCAGGGTGCGCCTCTTTCACACGATGCACCACCTCATCGATTGCAGATTCAGTGGGTTGGCCGCTCGCGTATATGTTAGTCCCGGGTATGTTACGAAAGTTGATTGCCCCGCGGACTGAGTCGGACACACGATGAGATTCTGAAAGCCACTGATCTGACTTGAGAAGCGTGCTATTTGACAGGCAGAAGTCAAACACGTTACAAACACATGATGCTGACGTACCTCTCTCGCAAAATAATTCCACTCCGATTCTGCGGTAATTCATGAGCCCAAGTATTTCGTGTCATTCAAAGAGCGAACCTTGACAACGTGGTCACTATACTCATCGCCGAGTAGCTGACCTCCGGCGATCTCCACATCGTTCTTCTGTCCAGCCACCAGAGATTTATCTTCTGTTCCTGATCTCGACAAGAGAGAGAGATCGTTGACGGGCGCAAAAATATTGAGTCTCGAACCGTATGTCTTGCGGAGAAACTTGATTTGACTATAAACATGTAGGGCGTCATTCAATGTTTCCGAGTCACTGATATGCTGGGACCAGCTTACTTCCAAATTTCTGTTCTCGCCTAACAATTAAGACGTTAATGCGGTGATTAGGGAATATTTCATCAATTACAAAGAATAACGTACATTTAGCCAATCCAAAAAGGTCATCTCAAAGTCATCAACAGAATCAACATAACTCGCGAAGGTGATCATGAAGAAACTAGCAGGTATCCGGTAACAGTTATTAAACAATATAGTCACAACAAACCACGTACTATTTCTCCAGCGCACTCCGAGCCTTGAATAAAAGATCTTCTCGTTTGCTTTCGTCATTATCGGCCGTTGTGAGTGAATATTTGACCCTGTGGGTGAAGACATCTTCCCGGAGATTAGTGACATGATCACCTAAAGAATCAAGACATGGTTAGCGGCCAACCCCCAATACATAACAATGTCATTTTTAAGGCACAAGATCAAAGACATAATGAAGCATGACGGTGCACCTACATGCATCTATTACACGGTCGACCAGTCTTTTAGCCTGTAAGCCGTGATCTAAACACCCGAGTAGACTCAATATCACTCCATAATTGCCTTGGTGTGCTTTGCGTAAGTTCTCCAAGAGTGTGGGTTGCGCCATGAGCAAGGCAATCACAGTCTGCGAATGGAGATCTGTGAGAGATAAAGTGAGTGATTTCCGAGATAAGGCCGCGGTGATACGTACGTCGCTGTAATACATAGGTCAATCTTAGAAGTGACTTATTTTGGTCCTGTTGTGCACTGGCATTTTCCAGCGCTTGAGCTAGCTTGATATCAGTGGCCGCCTTAGGAAATACCAAGTTCAAATCAGCACTCGAGCGTAATCGAATGACGTACGGGCCCCATACCTGATTTGTAGGCTGACAAAAGTATGTCAAGGAATTTGTATCAAGAAAAGATTGTGAACTCACCGTACTGATGCCAGGGCTGCCGTTATCCATCTTATAGGATCCGCTACCCAAATTGCTCAAGAAAGATGACCTACTCGGGTATGGATCTTCTAAACCTCTAGCAAGCAGCATCTTTCTCCTGACGATCACGGCAGCGACCATGGCGAATGTAGTTCGAACGGCACCCATACCGCAGGAAAATACAAGAGCACTTCGTACCGGATCTGTGTTTTTGATAACACGTAGGTACGCATCTAGGTAGTTGTCCTAGGTGGTGTAAGCGGTAAACCATAGTTACAAATATGA